AGTAAATTGCGATGGCCAAGGTCAGGTAGAAGGTGATGGAAATGGTGATGAGACCACTGAGGGCATAGGGGAAGTCCCTCACTGGGTTTCTCATTTCAGCCATGAAGGAAGGGAAGGTGATATTGCCGGCAAAGGCAAAGACAATCTTCAGACAGGCATTGAAAATGGTCCGGAAGCTGGGAGACGCGACGACAGTGATCTTGGCATCCCAACCATCAGGCGCCCTCGCGGGGTCTGAGACTCCGAGGCTAATCATGACAACCAAGGCCGCAACGACGATACTGATGACGGTCGGGACACCGCTGTAGGCGATGAACTTGGCCGTCCGAGGTACGCAAAGCAGGAAGCACGCGATGCAGGCGATACCGATGAAGCCAACTGTGCAGGTTCCATGCTCACTTAGGGTGTTGAGAGCGACCGAGAGCGTGACGGCGGTAGAGGCACAAGTCATGAGGAGCTGGATAACAAGGCCGATGGCTGCGACAATCTCCCAGGGACGTCCGCCCATGACTCGTACCATGTCAATGACATTGACGCAGTGAGGATAGCGGGCGTGGAATTGAAGCAGCTCATAACCAGTATATCCAGAAAGACAGCCGATCAAGATGATGGCGATAATGCCGGGGATAACGCCCAAATCTCGCAGGGCACCAGGGAGGCCTAGAACACCTAGGCCAAACTGGTTGCAAAGAAGAGCAAAAAGAGCATCCCAACGGCCCATATTACGGAAAGACTGTCCGTTTTCGCCGTCAAAGATGCCACCGCTCGCCTCCTCATGCTTGCCGGCTTCAAAGTCGTGGGTACCAGAGGTGTCGGTGTTGTTTCCGAGTTTCTCGTCCATGGAGGAACCGTCCTTATCTTTGCGGGCGTCGACGACGGCTTTTGTTTCAGGGTTCTCGGAGGTATGCATGGTGGCGTTCGATAAGGTGTAGCAGGGTTGCAACGGGAGAGCTAGCTGCAAGTTGGTGATGTGCCGCCGTTCTAGAAGGCGTCTAGACGCTGCAGGTGGCTTTGATGATCGAAGCTAAAGATGGAAGATTCAAAAGTTTGATGTTTAAAGAAGAGGTAGGAGATCTTGATGCTTCTGGTTTAGGAAATGAGAAGAGACTGTTTGATCGACTGTGGCTCCCAAGCATTTATATACGCAGCCAAGAGTTTTTACGCAACATTGGGCTTTGACATGAGCGATTGAAAAGCGCTCAACAATGGGTTCTACCCAAGACTCTACAGTTTCAGGGTTCACAGGCATTGGCATGGATTGTTTGGGTATTCCCTCATGGGAAAAAGCATTCGATATCCACCTCCCGGGCTCCCCGTGAAAGGACAGACAGCGACGTCATAGCATGGAGAGAGACTGGAGAGCCAAGGAGTTTCAACCCCGACTATCCCACCTTCCCCATGGGGCATCCACAGTGGTGCTAGTTTCGCCAAGTAAGAAGAATCGGAGGTGGTGATAGATGATAGCGGCTAAGCTAACCGTTGGTGTTGAGACCGTCGGGAGGACTCCCGACTTTGACAGGGGAGACAAGTCCCACACGGGAGGGCTGCCGACGTTCGTGGGCTGATGATAAAGGACGAACTGCCTCCGCTTGCTTGGATCTAAGAGGAGCCAAGAAAGTGTACGTAATTTACGCAGAACGGGGACCAGGCAGTTAATGGAACGGAAGAGAGGCAATGTCCTGATGGCGAGCTTACGGTTTGTAGAGCAAGGGTGACTCCTTGTAAGAACAAACCATTTGCCGCTATTCAGCCTCAAGAAATCGGAACAATGCCGTGCGTGTCCCACAAAGTCCACGAGTCAGCATAAAGCCTCACTCTTTCTTGTTTCGTCCCTAACTCACCGCTGGACCACTTAATCATGGAACCGGCCAGTAAACCAGGTGTTTTCTCTCGCCACGGCCCCTCATCCCGGTGAAGTGTTCTCTTTTATCTCTCAGACATGCCTTCCAGAATGTCGTTGTCATTATGTAAAACATGCTGAGCCTTGCTTAGAGGTTTGGGATGGAGACGCCGACGTTGCGAGTCTTGGCGAGCTCAAGGATGGCGTTGCCGGCGGCGAGGTCCGTCACGCTGACCCCTATACCTTTGTACACGACAAAGCCCTCGCCAAGCCAAGACTCGAGAGACTCGGTGGACTTGTTCTCCCGTTTCAAGCTCAGAATCTCTCCCACCTGCATCATTTGCACAGCCTTGAGCCCGCTCTGCATGACTTCTCCGGACTTGACGAGACACTCCTCCAAGTCATCAACGAGGATGCTGCCGCCTGCCCCGCGTGGGCTATAAGCGTCGTCTCTCGCAGCAGCGTGTCGGAGCATCTCTGGATCCAGCTCGATCATGTCGGGCTGCCATGAGCCGATGGCTCCAACAAACGGAAGCCTGTTTCGGGATCCTTCGCCTAGGATAGACTTGAGTGAAAACAGGGGCGTCGTGGATCCAACCGTGCAAAAAACGGTGTCAGCCGTTGACAGGAGAGCCTCTAACCGTTGCTCGTAGTCTGGTTGGGAAGGATCAAGCACGTTGAGATTGGCTGAGGACTTCCAGTACTTCTGGTTCTCCTTTGTAACTTGCTCGACCAGCGCCTGAGCTCGAGCGGGAGATCGATTAATAATGGTGATATTCTTGATCTCATCACCTCTAAGAGCCAGCGCGAGACGAGCATGCCAAAGCCCTTGCTTCCCAGCGCCAAAAATAACAACTTCCTCCGTACACCGTCTCCACATCCACGGGATCAAGGCGCACAGCGTAGTCCGGTACCCGGTAACCTCTCCGGCGTTGAGCAGGCCGGTGGGCCGACCGCTCGCGTCGCAGAGGGCCAACACACCGTTTAGCGGGGGATTGATCGTCTTCCCGGAGGCGTCCTTGACGGGGGCCGGGGTAACGACAATCTTTGTGCCCACGGCGTCCGGGGAGCTAAAGGTGCGGAAGAGCGTTTTTTGTCCGGTTGGTCGGTTGACGAAATCTGGTGTGGGTTGATATTTGCTTTCCTCACCGACTGTGAATTCGATGAGTGAATCTTCGAGAGCTTGCTGGAACTTGATGATGTCGTCCTTTTGGAGGCTGATAAGAAGGTCGTGCACGACAGAGTCGTTGAGCACAACCAGATTGTTGGCCATTCTGAATAATCGTGTTAGAAGCCGACGTTCCTTAAGCTGACTGTTGCTGTTGCTGAGGGAGTCGGTAAACCGTGGGCTGCTGTATATAAAAGCGATGACCCGAAAGTATTACTAGCAGAGAAGAAGTTGAAAGATTCAAGATGTAAAACATACGTTTGTAGATATATAAACATGTGGTCAGCAAGGATCGGGACACACTACCGTCCCCCGCAACCCCCGGCCGAAACCTCCGAGCCCACGATCCCGGGATCGGGTCCGTTATCAAAGAAGCCCGTTCCCCAAATGGGAAGTTGGAGAAAAACGCCCATTGTACCCCCGCGAAGAGTCCTTCGGCTAAGCTAGACATCTCGAGTGCGGGGAAGCATGCCACAGAAGTCTGATAAGATCAGTCACGGCGAATGGGAGGTTGAGTCAATGCAGTTTCCAAAGGTCATGGGAGTGTGTTTTGCAGATATCGGGTAGGCTATTCTAGATGTTTGTGGAGTTTTTGAACTACGGCTATCGCTGCCGATGTTTTGTCGGTATATCCGACTTTGAGGGGACGTTAAGATATAAGATGCTCTTAGTTGTAGTCTTAGTACCAAGGGTTGAACCATAGACCCTGACTCTTCGACTCTTTAAACCTCTCTTTTGAACCCCTTTCTTATACGCAAAATGCCTTTCAAGCGTAGCTTCAACACTGTTGGCGTCCACTGTGGCGGCGAGGTCTGCGATGTTGTCGTCGGAGGCGTTCGCGATGTTCCTGGCAAGACCATGTATGAGAAGATGATGTACTTCTGGAAGAACGAGGACCATCTTCGAAACCTACTCCTCAATGAGCCTCGAGGATGTTCTGCCATGTGCCACAACCTCGTCCTACCTCCCTGCAACCCCGAAGCCGACTATGGCTTCATCATCATGGAGCACGAAGACTACCCTCCCATGTCTGGAGCAAACACCGTTGCCACGGCCACTTGCCTCCTTGAAACCGGCATGGTCCCAATGCAAGAGCCCGAGACTGTGGTCAAGCTAGATACTCCAGCCGGTCTCGTCACTGTTTACGCAAACTGCGAGAACGGCAAGTGCAAGAGCGTCCGGTTCCACAACGTCCCGGCCTTTGTCTTTGCCCTCGACAAGGAGGTGACGGTCCCCGGCCTCGGCGCCGTCAAGGTCGACATTGCCTATGGCGGCATGATCTACGTCCTTGTAGACGCCGCCTCGGTGAACCTCAAGATCAAAAACACCAACGGCGCACAGCTCGTCGAGGTTGGAGAGCGCATCAAGAGAGCTGTCGTGGAGCAGACACAATGGGCCCACCCCGAGAACTCGAGCATCACGAGTATCACAGTCCTCGAGTTCACGGAACCTCTCGAATCCTACAGGGACGGAAAGAGGGCCGTCAACACAGTCGTCGTTTCTCCTGGGCGTCTCGACAGAAGCCCCTGCGGTACTGGAACCTGCGCCCGACTTGCCGTTCTGCACGCGAGGGGAGAGCTGGCAGAGGGTGAGCCTTTGTACCATCGCAGTGTTATTGGAACAGAGTTTATTGGCAAGGTGGAGGGTACTACCAAAGTGGGAAATTACCCTGCTGTGTATCCCTCTGTCACGGGTAATGCCTGGATCACGAGCTTTAAGCAGGTTGTGCTGGATGCTACGGATCCTTTCCCGGAGGGCTTCCGAGTTGGAGATGTGTGGCACCTGGACCCCGAGGAGTAGAAAACTCCTTTTTATAGCGTATAAAAGCAATTGATTATTAGCGCATCACCACAGTGCCACCGTCCCAACTGATGAGAGCAGGCAGCAAGTACCAGCATGACTAGAGGCTGCTCCAGACCGATGAACAACTATCGAACACGCTTGAACAAGATAAAGACAAGATTCTGGCCACTTCTACATCTCATATCGCATCTAGGCTCCTGCACCAGGCCTCACAGACCATGTCTCGGCGGTGTAAATGAGACGTCCCGTATCCTCCAACCTTGCCGGGTTAACATAGACTCTCAACTGCGCCGCAGCTTTCTCGACCTCATAGACACGGAATACCACGTAAATCTTGTCCATGCTATCTTGACACTCGTGTATCTGTAGACATAGTTAGCACATGGGGAGGGACTTGATCGACAGACTTACCAATCTGTATTGGCTCTTGCTCATGTAAAAGGGAGCTTCGCATGGTCCTGTCGTTGTCTTGACTTCGAGATAATACTTTGACCTCTTGTGCTCCCAGATATCTCTCTCCAAGTACCCATTGTCGATCAGTAACTCTGTCAGAATGCCTTCGCTGTCACTGTATTCGATGTCTGAGGTCTCCTTGTGATTCCAGGGCTGAATGTTGGCGTAATCTGGATGCACTGAGACGTAACTCCGGATCGTGCTCCTCCAGTTCGCCAGCGAAAAGCCAGGGAGTCTAGGACTCAGATTCTTCAACAGCTCAAACACATAGAGTTCGCCAGCCGCACCTATCATCCTGTCGCGCTCCTGCTGAGACGAAGACCGGAATCGCGCGAAACGCTCGAGTCCATCGTAGCTGTTATGCCCCATGAGATCATTCAGAGCATGCGACAGTCCGGTCATGTTGTATGTCCCCTCGGATGGGAGTCTTGGGGTTGTCCGAGCGGCTGTTACAACCCTCTCTAGCAAGGCTTGATACCGGGCTGTCTCCTGGTTGGCCAGGGCAGGCGAATCAAGAATTGGCTGGATTGTCGGCCGGTGACCGGTGGTTGCGAAATCACTCCTTGCATGAGTGTAGCTGACTTCCTGGGCAAGGTCTGAGCCGGAAAATCGCCTCGATCGCGCCGGGTGGTGTGAAACTGAAAGACCTGTAGCCACTTCGCGACTTTCAGGGCTTGGAATCGAGAAAGGCCCATGAATTGCCTCTGGTCCGCTCGGCGTAGCAAGTTGTGATGAAACGAGGGTTTCCAGATGAGGAGTCCCTTCAGCTTCTGTTTCGGCCAATGGTGCGGTAGCAATCGGATCTTGATCTGAAGAGCCAACAACATTTCCGACAACGCGAGTCTCCCCAGCAACATGAGGTTCAATGGCCTGGGCACCCTCAACATTCTGGATCTCCTCAGGCTCCTCGTCCTCTTCGTAATCGTCCTCCAGCTCACCGGCGGCAATTCCCTCATCCTCCAAGATATCAGAAAGAACAAAGCGACTAGAGTTGAGAATGCTTGCTGTGACTCTGAGTCCCTTCTCGTTCAGTGCTACCCAACTCCCGTCTGAAGGGGTTATAAGCCATCTGAAGAGACCCAAGGGGAGCTTCCTCGCGTAGCATGACTCTTGGTTCCTCTTGTCACGAGGAACAAAGATGTTGAGTTGGCCTTCCTCCTCCTCGATGTGAAGGTCACTTTGGCCCTTTTCGTAGGATCTTTCGCGATCGTCTTGGATGATGTAGAGCGTTGCCGCAATCCCGTCGGTTTCATAGACTTGGGCGTTCTTGAGAATCTCGTAAAGGGCACGGGCGCCCTCGTTGAGTCGCGGGCTGTTGTAATGATACGCAATGCTGTACCATGGGTTAGTTGAGTATCCATCGGAGGTCAATTTTTTGGATAGTTACCGATAGAGTGCATGTGCTCTTGGCTTGATGCTCCGCGCAGAGGTTGACAGCGGCTCCTTGCTAGCTCCTTGAACCCGGGAAACTTCCACGACTGCTTCCGAAAGGTATCTCGCCCCTAAGCCCAGCCAGCTCAGAGTAGGACCAAGCTTCCGGACTTGGTCGAGGTTAAAGTCCAACGTTTTCGCCATAGGTTTGAAGATATCCCCAAGCTGCACCCGGTCGACGATGGCAAACTCTGTGGTGGCCTTCTCAAGCTGAACATGGCCATCTGGGTACCGCACTGGGAAGATTCTTCTGCCAAGAAGCATGTTTTCATCTGAAGGTATAGCTCCTTCCGAGATGTATGAGTTAAGAATCCAAAAATTAGGCTCAACCTGGTCTCGGGTGGTGTCTGAGGATGAGCCCAAACGGTCAAGCTCGCCGTAGACCAGCTCTAAGCTGAGAGTCTTGACGCCAAGGAATTTCACAAAGAATTTGTACAAATCCTTGTAATGGGGTTCGAGAATCGCCCACCCAGAGAGCTCAGTTTCACTCGCCCACAGGCACTTGGACACTTGGTGCCAGGCTCCATGACCCCCCTTTTCGGCATAGATGAGGCTTTTGTTGACAAATACTGATCTACTTCACGTGAGTCCAAAACGCATGAAACCAATTCGGGCTTACTCACTTGATATCTTCTTGGACCTTCGCAGGTAGACTCTTGCACATTGTATAGAGCTGTTTGTATAAACCGGAGGCAATTTCCAGTTCCACATCCCCGTCGTCGCTCAGGTATTCCAGCTCATGCATGATGTGAGAATAGTCGCAGTCTGGTATCTGTAGAATGTCAACAAACAAGTTGGGTAGACTTGCAAACTCGGCCAAGAAGCTTTTCATGCGTGCTCTGAGGGGATGCCTGCTTCTCAAGCACGCAGGTCCTTTCCATAAGCAATCGGCCAGCAGAGCCCAGGTACACTCCCTCCCGTCCACAGAAGGGACTAGGATGAGGCTGTTCGCTTTAAAAACTGACCTAAGGAAAGTTAGATATTGGTCAGAACAAGAATGGGGTACCACTGACTGGATGACCTGCTTGCTGAACTCTTTCATAATGGTCTGGAGGTAATTGCCATGGATAACACTGTATAGCTCAAGAACTCTTCGACAGTCATCTTCCGTCGGGGAGTCTACGGTGCCAAATGCAAGCAGAATCCTCAAGTAGAATCCAAGATCGTCCGTACTTTGGACCCCAAGGCTGCCTGTCAGGAAAACCCAGTTTAGGCTGTAGTCTGTCCGTTCTATCGGTTCCTCAAGCTGAAGAAACGGAAATTCGGCTTTCCCCGCCAAGAACCTAGTGGACTGGGCCAAGAGGTCTGGGAAAGGAAGATACGTCCCTTCGAGTTCTAGCATTCTCCCCCCCTGGCACAAGACCTTGGTCTTTTTCAGTTTCTGTTGCAGTTCAGCGCTTGCCTTGATGGGGCCCCCTTCCTGCGGCCAATGGTGAAGCAGAAAAGCAAAAAACTTCTCTGGCCTATGTTCTGCAACATAGTAGCAAGCCTGAGACAGATCCGTAGGCGATGAGACCCTATCAGCGAGTCGCAATAGTCGTCGCAGGCCTATGACTTCGACAAGCCAGTCCCTCCAGGTGAGAGAGTCTTCCTGCGGGGGCTGTGGGACTCCTTGGAGATACATCTCCTGTATAAAGTTGACTTTGAGACCTGGAGCTCTTTGAGCGGACTTTTCGTCACATTCGATCGGTTTGAGAAGCTCTCGCGGTCCGAGGGGATCATCGTCTGGTAGGTAGACATCATAGCTAGCCGTCTTCTGAATGATGCCATCGTCAATCAGGAGAACGTTGCTATAATCGTCCAAATGATGGGTCTTGCGATCATGTGTAGAGTATAGGAACTTGAGCTGCTGTACGTAAAATTCAACTCTTTTCCCAGGACCCTTCAAGTACGACTTGTGCCTTTGGAAGATTCGCTCCCGAACACTGCCGGCGCTAAGCGATTCAACACCAAGGGTTTCGAAAAGCCTTCGCCGTTCCGATTGAAAGGCTGCGGAAGCCTCAACGAGGTTGAATTCAAGGTCCTCAGGCACTGTGAGCCCTGCTGTGTCCGGGAAGAAGACCTTCTCATCGCTTGTCACGGCGAGCCAACGGCCATCTTGCAAAGGAATGATGGGTAGCTTCTCAATCATGGATCTTGCCGCGCGATTATGCGTATCCTTATAGGCAATTTCCAGAAAACAAGCGACAAATGATTGCAGGAAGGCGTCAGCAGCCCTGGATTTCAGCCAAGAATCTGGGGACTGGAGGTCTTGATCGATCATGCGAATGATGTCTTGCCGATAAAAGCCTACCAATCCCAGATTTTCAAGAATAGCAAGACTGGAACTTCCATAGCGACGGGATATGCTGAGCTCCGGGGTAAGATCCCTGAGCAGAAGATTGTTTTCCTTGTCCACGAAGAGCGGACGAGGATTTCGAAGGCTCGTGATTAGGCGCAAAGGACCACCGCTATCCGGCCGAATCAGTGGCGTTTCACGGACTTTTGCCTCGATATCCGTGACCAACGCGGACCAAAAGTCAGAGTGCACTTTGTTTTCCTTGTCGGGAAGGAACTGCATCCAGGTGTATTGAAGAGTCTCGTGGTTGCAAAACTCCAAGGCCGCTTGGATAAAGGCCATGCAGATGCCGTCACGGAGACCAATGTTGCGCGCAGCAGTGGTGACGATGTGTTCTCGACTGGCATTTGTCATGAAGTCGCTTTGGATCAAAAACTGTCCCCTCAATTAGTTTAACAACAGCACAAGGCCTGGGACCTTACCGAGAAGCCCGCGGTTTGGACCGGCAAGAAGGCAAAGACCTCCTGCGACTCGATGACAGGCTCATACTCGGGCGTGAGAGGGAACGCCAGGACGACTTCGGCAGTGGAGTACTCCTTCAACAGATCCTCTTCCTCTGAATAGGTGCGATTCTCATTTTTAGAGAGATTGTATACTTTGTGTTTGGTGATGTGATAAAGGGTCGAGGAGCTCTCCGAACTGTCGCCATCGTCTTGCGTCACTGTCTTGAGTATCTTGACCTTGCTATCATCAGTCTCGCTTTTGGTAAAGACAGTTGATGTCTCGGCCTCGTTTTCGTCGATGATGATACGAATCTCTTCAAGCTTCCTCATGAAAAGCAGAATATTTCCGTTGAGCTTGCGGAGTTGCTGGCGGATGCTGTGTCGCTGAGCTAGGATGCTTTGAGGGTCGCCCTCAGTATGAAGATCGAGAGTCATTCTGGTCATGTACCGAGGCAGCTCCTCTGTGGGCTCCTGCCAAACTGGAGTAATCATCCCCATGCCACTATCGGAGGGGAGATGCTTGAAGTAGAATGAGTAGGGTCCAGACTGAATGTGTACCTTCCATGCCGCCATGAATACCGACTTGAAGCCGATGCCCTTTTCGCCAATATATCCCTTAGTGGCCAACTTGGAGCTTTTACCAATTGAGCAGATGGCTTCCAGATTGGCTGTAGTGAAGCCATCTTCGTTGCACTCAATGACCAATCGATCCTTGCTCAGGTGGAAAGAGACGTACGGGCGGCCTTCGGCGTGTACAAAGCTGTTGTCTTCGGCATTCTGTAAGAGCTCAAACACAAACCGGGCCGTACTGCTGTAGAGACTCTGCGCCAGCCTAAAGAGAACATTAGAAACTTATCCAAGCTGCCGAATTGACGTCTTGATCATCTTACGCCTTGATGGCGGGCTCCAATTTGCTCTGGAGGCTGCTGATGGCTCTCTGAAACTTGGCGCGACCAGCTTCGCTGAGCTCGTCCCAATACTTTTTGTCGACGAAACCATTCTTACCACTGAGCTCTGCGATAAAATCGCGAGCCCGGGCTGACTCTGACAGAGGTGTATCGCCCGATTCCATTGCTGAGTGACACCCGATTGAGCGCAGTTTGGAGCAGCATGACTTCGGGGGGCTCGGATTAGATTAAATCGTCCATAATCTACAGTTCTCATGCACCTCTAGGGGGCCAAAACACAAGCAACTTCTCAAAAAGGGAAGCTGGAGTGATGACCCCGGTCATGCTGTTGGTTCTGAACCTTTGCGCTGGCGGCAATGGTAGAGACGGGTACCTAGGTAGGTACTCTAACAAGGCTTCGATTATTGACCAGCATGGAAATTCCCTTTGAACCTTTGCCTTATAAACACCTATGCTCTTATTATTATCACAGAATATTTTGGAATGAGACTTCTCGCCTACTCTCTGGCTTCAAGACCAATTTTATAAATGTCATCCTCATCCTAGTTCCAGGTCAACAGCAATGGATCTTGCCTGACAATTGACACACAATGAACTCAAATCTTGACCTGCAATCCAGAGCCTTGATCCGCCAATAGATACGTGAATCACTTGCTTGTGGTAGGACAGCGCTTAACCCAGCTCACCAACTGGTCACTCGAGGCGCCGGCCACGAGGGTTCGGTTTGAGGCTGAAGAAAGTCTGTTTCATCTTTCTAAATATATCAACACATCTCTTGATCTAATCTCATTTCTATTCCCAGAGCCGTCTTCCTGTGATCGATCTGTTCCTGATGAATGCGACTCAGATGATTACGTCAGTATCGGCTCCGACAATAAAAGCGGGTCGAGCAGTTCCGCGGGGACAACCCCGGAATCCGGGTATTCGAGGGGAAGCTATCTCGATAGTAGCCGAGTTGGAGTTTGCATCAAAACATTGTAGAGCAGCTGGGCCAGAAACAGCTAAACTTTGGACTCTGTCATTCGGACCGCTTCATAGACCTTGTCGCTGTGACTGTTTCATCTGTTCTCTCACGATGGCCAAGAAGCTCAACCCCACGCAGTTCACCAAGGCGGTGCGTATCTCCCGTCGCAATCTCAGTCGCGTCGACTCTTCAGGGCATCAATTGCATCCCTCTTGGTCCTGTCGCCTTGTTCAACCCTAAAACTAACATCTTGCCTCATCTCAGGTGGTGCGCTCCTTCATGGCCGACTCTGGTCTCGAGCCTCGGTACGTGGCCTAAATAGCATCACAAACTCACCCGGACATGCAACTCCGAGACGACCGCAGGACGAACTGCTAACACCAACAACTTTACAGACTTCTCGGGAAGAATGTATACATCTGACTATAACTCTAAGGCCACGGTCAATGCTGACAACGGCACAGTTCCGTGTTCTGAGCGCCGCTGAGGGAAGAGTCGACTTTGAGCTCGATATCCACAAGGACCACACCGTTCGTGCCCTCGAACATATTGCCAACGCATCTTGAATAACTCTCTTCAGAACCGCCTTCAAACCATCCACGGTGGCACCATCGCCAGCCTAGTCGACCTCGGCGGTTCCCTTGCCGTCGCATCAACGGGCCGCTTCGCAACCGGAGTGTCAACCGACCTCAACGGTAAGTCCCCAAGTCTGCGCCACCCGTGTATGTATCTGATTCGGAGCAGTCACATATCTAAGCCCCGGTGGCCGCGTGGGCGACACCTTCAAGGGCACCGCCATCTGCGAAAAGATTGGCAAGACCTTGGCGTTTACACAGGTGACATTTACCAACAGCAAGGGTCAGCTCGCCGCGCGAGGAAGCCACACCAAGTGAGTTGCCTTTGTGCCCCGACACCAAAACCACTCCCGTACTGATTTCTATAGATACGTGGCTGGCACCATGGGCGAGGCCGGCCCCTTTGTTGCTCCCCCCGAGTTCTCAGACGTGGACTAGATTGAATCACCAAGGCGAAACGGACATTTCGTTGTTCAATACATGATATAGAAGGGCGTATTAAATCCCAAACAACAGCAAACTAAATCATAGATCTCATGGTATCACTTCGTTTATATCAACAAGAAAATCCGAAATCGCGTCGTTATCAGCCGTGTCTCCCAAACTTGATCAAATTGCAATTTCCACTATCCTAACCCCGATCACCATTTACATGCCGGCCTTTGTGCCGTATGGGTGAGGTGAAACCGATGGAGGCGTGCCGTCGGCTTGGTGGTTGAAGCCCATGGTCTCCTCGTGGGGAGGGGGTGACCTTGTCGTCTGCGAGGGCGAGGAGGGGGTGTACGCGCTGTATGTTTGCTGAGGTTGCTGAGGCTGCCAGCCTTGTTGGACTGGAGATACTGGTTGCGGCTGCTGATATTGTTGTTGATACTGATGCTGCTGTGGTTGCTGATACTGCTGTTGGGGCTGTTGGAACTGAGGCTGCTGCTGGACCATTGGAGGCGCAGTCGGCTGAGGGCCATTATTGTAAGAGTACCCCCAAGCCGTCTGTTGGTTCCCCTGTGGAGCATTGAAAGGCTGGGGAGTAGACCAGAGCCCCTTGGCCTTGGCGGTGCCCAAGGCAAAGATCATGCAGAGGACGGTGAATTGTGGCCAGACAGCAAAGACAACGTCAAGGATGTTGTAGTAGTACTCGTATCTGTCGTTTCTGCTATTGGAAAAGTCGGACCAGGCAGCGATGGACGCCATGCAGTAGGTCGTGCGCAGGAGCCAGGCGATGGACATGGCGATGAGCATGGTCGAGCACTGCGTCGAGTTAGTAGCTGGAACAACATTATGAGAGGTAAACTCACCCAAGAGAGCGTCTTCTCGGCCTTTGGCTGCATCTTGACCATGACGGATCGGGCGACAATTCCAAGCGCCGCAACAAAGACCAAGACACGGAACGCAAAGTCAATCTGCCGGGCCTTGTTGTACGCATCCTCACCAGGCGCCTCCGAGTCACTGACATAAATAGAATCACCATAAAAGGTAGCGAGGAAGCGAATATTAAGACCGAGAGCAGCAATTGTCAAGATGGCCAGCAGGGTGCTAAAAGCGTAGGACCCAAGTCGCAGGATCTTGCCAATGGGACCAGCATGACCAGACTGGGCGATGACGATGCCGGTGCTGATGCGCAGGAGCATGATCATTACAAGAATATCGACAATCTTGTCAAAGAAGTTGCTGATGATGGCGGTGCTGCTGGAGGTGATTTGAATTGCACGGATGGCATCGTACGAGCCGTAGTAGTAATCGTCTCGTTCTCGCACTACAGCGATGGTCAGGGCGACTGAACATATGTCGAAGAAGGCATAGCTAGGTATGTTAGCCACATCCACAAGAGATATCCGGAGATTGACATACCCGGCAAACACAGGCAGAGCAAGCTTGAGGTAGGTGAATGCCGTTCTCGCGGGATCCTTGCGACGACGGGTCAAGCAGAGAGCGCAGAAGAAGAGGATGCTGGCGGGGATCCAGGCCGTCACGACCAGCAAGGCGCCGCGAGCGATCAAATATTTCTCATATTCATAGAGCGCCATGGTTGTTGATGACAAGCCTCGTCGGGGGTCGAAAATGCGATGTTGATAAGTGTGTGCGATGCTGTGCGATGTGAGTGCTCAACCCTGTGAGCTATGAACAGGCAGGTCGATATCGAATGGCTGTGATTTGCCAAAGCACGACGAGTCGCAGGTGCCCAAAACACGAGCAATCGCGCCTTGAATGACTTCCAACGAACAATGGCTCGAGGAGCGCAAACGATAAAGATGGAGGAACGGAAAAAGGAACCTCTCGAACGCGATGTGCGCCCTTGGACCATTTTACATTGGGCGCCTGCATTCTTTTTACTAGCTTCTATTGGTCTCGTTTCAGAGCAACGCCTCTTTCGCCAGAAGCAATCCCATTCGATTTTCAGCTTGGCGAAAAAGGGCTGAAGTAGGCAATCACCGCCCAAGGAGCGAACGAAATATACAGCTGCCGCAGTATAAGGCACGGATGCAGGGGTTATCGAAGCACGACCAATCATGGACGCGTATTCCATCTCAAGGATGTCCTGGGCGCATGGAAGGCCCCGCTGATGTACCGGCACTGCCTCTGTAAAGTGCTGCAGAGGCGTTAAAGCGACTTCATCATTGGCCCTACTCAGCAGTGGCGCCACGATCGTCCAACGCTTGACTTGTAATTTCTTCCCTTCAATCTCTCAGCCAAGACCCCGTGATTCTGTTCAGGGCGTTTTACGAGGCTCTCTTCTCCTTGGCCAGAGTCAAAAGCTTTGGAGGGATGGTTTCTCGACATACGTGAAAGGTAGGCGCAGCTCCGCGGTAATCCTTGTGCCTAGCGTTGCCGATCTGGCCTTGCTGGGCTGGGCGGTCGACTGGAAAGGGAAATGCTCGGTGTTACAATCATCCGTATTACTTTCCAGCACGAGGCCCTCGTTCATTGTAAGAACTGTAAATCATGCATGCTCGTTTGAGCCTCCACTGCTGGTTTTATTAAAGAGAGGGCGTCAAGGTCCACCATATTAATGAGACTGGCAGCCACCGTTCGAGAGTCTCTTCCACATTGGATTCTCTATCAATCAGCAGATTCGTCGGGAATGGCTTAGCCCCGACATCCGCCTCTGTCACGTCACAATGAGGCTAAGCCTCATCGTCTCTGTCAAACGGCTGCAAGACAATGGCTCGACAGGTGGCTCAGTATGAATCGTACCAACTCTTGTCGTAGACAACACGATCGAGTCTTCAACGTCTCAGACACAGCCTTCTTTCGGAGGCCTTATCCGAAACCCGTCTCACGGTCCATTTATGATAGCTTATCTATCTGATCCAGGATTGATCCTCATCCACCCTAGATCACGAGCTCTCCAACCCTATACCAACATCAAGAAAACCTTCACTCCCTTCATATTATCTCAAGTAGAATACTACCATAGACCACTGATAACATGTCTCAATAAAGCCCCCGTCGTAGGCTCCAAGCTGTCGCGTGGTTCATCGCAGCTCCACGAAAGTCGCCCAGGTGACGTCACACGGACATCGCACTTACACCATCAGAAAGTGAGCATGACGACGTCACGACTTTGCGCCCCAAAAAATCCAGGAACGGGGCAGAAGGACAGATGTAAATAAAAAGCACGAGTACAGAATTGAACATGGAATTTACATTTCATACTTGTCAAACAAAAAACACCATCTACACACAACTGCATCAAAATGGCCATCACTACTGCTATCAACGACTTCCTCAGCTCCATCTACGAGCTCCTCTCCTCCATCTTCGGAACTGTCTACGCAGTCATCCACTCCGTCATCGCAACACTCCTAGGCTTTGTGCGCGGCCTCTTCAACCTCATCGGCGACGTCACTTCAGGTCTGGTAGACGTCGCAGGCGGCGTGGGCAAGTTTGTTGCCGGTATGCTCTTCTTTCTCTTCTCTAATTGCTTTCATGCCCTCCCCTGCGCATTCTCCGACGGATGGATAATCCCAAGCGACCCTGTCTTGAGTACAATAACTGACTGTTGTAGGCAATGCTGCTATTCTTGCTGTTGGCGCCATCGCGGCTTTTGCCTATGTGAGATACACGGCGCAGGGACAGCGTCTTGTGAACAAGAAGACCCAGTAAAGTGTCAGATATAACCTCGAGCTTGGGAACATGGGAAAGGGAGTTATACACGATACCCAGATGTGATTTGGACCATGGATGGGATTCTCTTATCAGACAGGATGGCCTAGGAGGCATGGAGTAAACAGGTTCAATGGAATTTCGACTTTGTTATTCACGCATTTCTCATTGTAAAAGTTGCCCGCCCGCTCACCGTGACATTACAAATTCTACTGCCAGCGCTTCTTATCAACACATTCAGCCTTACTTCCAGGTGACCTTTGAGACTCCAAGCTTAGTGAGCTCTTCAACGGTTATCTCGGCTAGTGCTGGTCCAGATCCACCATCTTCAAGTTCACACTTCTGGGACATCTCATTGGCTGCTGATGCACATGTGATGGTGAGCCTCGTGATCGAGTCATGATGTTTCATTCGAGCACCATCCATGCAAATAGTCAGACATTCACAAACTTTGATACAGGCCTGGAACCCCAACCGTCTGGGATCAATAGACTGGGTGTCATGACTTCGCTAATTCTTGTGGTTTTCCAGTAAATACCCAGAACAAGTCTATCTCTCCCAGTCTCGTAACATATCGTCATGTGCATTCCTTGTCCTTTATCCAACCCCAAACCAAACATGTTCTGTTATTGACACGAGCAATCCGGTACTCTCCTCCAATACGCAAAGACTCCAACTCCTGATAGATTCCTAATCAATTTCGCTCCGTTATTGTTCCCGTTAAACGTGATTTCATACATTCGATACATGCCCCTCAAGTTAGGGTCGCAAGCATGGCCCGCATGAGCTTGGGAGGAGGTCCTGTGCAGCTCGGTCAGCCGCACGTTCTCAAGAGAGGATAAACCAATGCGCACCTTCAACGGAACTTTGGCACGCTAATGGAAAGCCTACCTTTCTTGTCCTTTTCAATTCGCGGAGGCTTGCGGTGCTCAACCACCTTCTCCAGCCTGTCCTCCATGATGACGACTTGTCCGTCAGGTAGTCGCTCAGCGTGGACGATCTCACCACCTGTGCTGGACCGTCCTCTGGGTCTGTGTGCGAGCTCACGCTCCAGAGCGCGAATCTCTGCACGAAGCTCACGGCGTCCACCACGAGATCGGGAGCGAGACTTGTGAATGAGCTCGCCCTCGTGATGGTGATGATAGGAATCCCAACTCGACATTGTAGTCGTAGAACGGGAGGGTGAAACATCGCGAATAATGGTCTCGTCCACAATTTCGACAGGAGCAGGCTGAGGGTTCATATAGATGGGGCCTTGAGGAGGTGGCATGGGCATCGGTTGCATCTGGACCGGAGGTGGAGGAGCCGGAGCAGGGGCCCTTTGAACCGGCGGCGCCTGAGGGGGAGCCTGGGGTGGAGGTGCCCTCTCGGCTGGAGGTGCTTGAGGCGGAGGAGCCTGCTGAGGCGGAGGCTGTTGAGGAGGAGGGGCCTGTTGAGGCGGGCCCTGAGGCGGTGGTGCTTGAGATGGTACTTTCGGGGCTGGGGGAGCCTGCTGAGGTGGGAGCTGTTGAGGAGGTGGTTGAGGCTTGGCCTGGGGCGGAGGAGGGAGAATAGCAGCCGCTGGCTTGCGAGAAGCGGCGATCTCTGCCTCAACTATGGAGCTTGTTAGACATATACTGAGAGATGGCTGAGGAATCATACCCTTCTTGTAATCCTCGCTGACCTTGAGGAGCTCGTCAATGTTGTCCTGGCCGAGAGCCTTTTGCACAATGATAGTGTGACCCTGTTGCATGTTAGACACTAATAGATACGAGACGTTTATGTTGACAAACCTCTTCAAAGAATGGGTATCCGAGATCAATCAGAGCCCTCTTGGAGACAAGCTTGGCAGGAATGCGAGTCTTGCCCTTTTTGGGATACTCGCTGCGTACAGTAGTGCCTCCGCTGCTGCTAGAAGACCGACTGGAGGAAGACCCGTAGGAGCTGCTTCGCACGGAGCGAGTGCGGGTAGAGCGGGAGTCTCGGCTGCGGCCACGGCTGACGGCACGGCGACTGCGAGACTTGGTGACCTCCTTCTCACGAACTCTCTCAGGGTAGGGTCGGAAGTCGTCGTCGCCGTAAAAGTCGGGTTCGGCAACCTTGATGTCATCGTAGAAACCCTGGTCGGGAAATCGGCGGGGTGGAGGCAGTCCGCGGGTCTTGGGGAGCGGGATGGGGGTGTAAGGCGGAGCACGGTATTCATCCCGGCTACCTCGGCGGATGTCCTCTCGGCGAGCAGGAGGAGGGTACTCCTCGGGCTCACGGAAGAGACGGCTTGGTCGACGGTCAAAGGTGTCAAGAGAGGATTGGCGACGGAGGAATCCAGGCCGTCGAGGAGGAGATTCGCGGCGAGGGAAGTAGTCGCGCTCCCTCTCCTTTTCTAGTACACCACGGCGAGCCCATGGTGGAGGTGCTTCTCTCTCTCGTTGAGGCATGTAGCGAGGTTCCTCGCCGTAGTAGCGACGATCTCGGACCATGTCATCCTCGTCGAAAGAGCGATTTGTTCGGCGATCGAATCGCTCATCTGAGTGTTCACGGCCTCGTCCGCCGCGCATATATGATCGGTCATCGTCAAAGCGAGACCTGTCGTCACGGGCTCGCTCAGACATGAAACGATCCCGATCCCAGCGTTCGCCCATTGTGAATGTGTTGTGAGGCTGCTGCGAGCAGATAGAAACGTATAGTAGAAGACGGCCTTTCTGGGCCTTTGGTGTAAAAGGCTAGACCCTAGTATAAAACAAGGCTGAGCCTCTGGTGTTGATGATGTCAGTGACGATCAGAGCCCGATGCTTGAATCGAGAAGCGATTTTCAGTCGTGTCTGGTCTGGTCTGATGTGGGTGATGGAGGAAAGAGCAGAAGAGTGAGGAACAGGAGAGGAGAAGGAGGAAAAGATGTAGGGGAGGGTGGGTGGAATAGTTGATCAGGAGGGGAGTTAGTCTCGATAATGAGCACGGATGACGGATGGAGGGTGGACGAGCATGGCCGATGACGTTGACAGACAGCGACGCCCCGCTTGTCGCGACTTTACAGGGCGGAAGATTCCAGCGAGTCGCTGGCTGATGACCCCGCTGCAAGGGTCCCCCAGAGCCGCTGGCTTTCGGGGGCTCTGCAGGCTTTGCACTGGAGGCTCAGCGCTCCAGTTGGCCGGTCGTAGTGGTGGTGTCTGCTGACGAGGGCCTGTGATAGGCTCTGGCCTGACGCTGTTTGGTGTTGGCCGAGGAGGTTGCTGCAGCGTGAGACACTGCGAGACAACAGCGAAGTAGACACCTGATACCAGAAGTCTGGTAAACAGCCGAGTTTAGCAAGAAAATGTTTGAGTGGATGGAATTTGACCCAAGTGTGCTTTCGTCAGGGTCCTGTCCTTTGTGAAGCCACCCACACAGGAAACTACATGCCTCGTATGGAGTCTCCAGGCACAGCGTCAGAAAAGCACGCCAATGCATAAAACTGGATCTAGAAAAGATTGCGTACATGCCGAGCACGGCTAGTTCAACTCAGGAGAAAGGGACTTTTCCCCTTGGAACATGTTTTTTCGCTGATATCTGGTTCTGATATTGACCCTGTCGTGCTTTGCGCCCAAACCAAGGCCAAGTGGGTCAGCGCAGCCAAAAGCCGGATTTTTTGGCACATGAACGCAGGGATTGGGGTGTAGTGAGGTTATGGTGGCCAAGCGTGATGGATGGTAGGCGTGAGATGGGGAGAGATAGGAATTACACAAATATTCTTGGAATTGTCCATCATCTTGCATGTTGATGAGGCATCCATGCTGGTAAAAGCCCCAAACCAGGCAGATTCTTATCATCCTGATACTCTTTAATCACGTGAGAGCCAAACTTTCCACTGGTAACTGCCTTACCATCTCCCTCTTATCACCCTCCATCTTAACTCTAACACCCAACTGCAACCCTCTGGGGAACAGGCTTTCTCTCATGCAGGGCTCTCCCCTGGAGCCACTCGACACCTCATCGAGCCTCAAAGCGCCATCCTCGTCTCTTCTCACTTGTTTGTTATTTGTGCCCCCTTGCTCACCTGCAATGCGCGACCTCGTTCTCGTCGCTGCCGAGCTCTAGCGTCGTCGTAGTCCTACTCTCTTTGATGCCGCCATCTTCCTGATGGGCCTAGTTTCGACCCAAAGCTCCGCCTCTCGGGCATCTTTTGGTGATTTCTTTGTCCTCGGGCCACGGGTTCCAAGTGCCGCTGTCGTTGGGCATTGGCCAATGTCTGCGCTCATGCTCGGTGTTGCCTTGTGCAGCATCCCGATCATGCTGGCGGCCGTCTCCATGGCGATGGAATTTCCCTTTGTCTGTTGAGCTGCCACGACGGTCCTGGCCCGCTACGTTCTGGAACTTACACTGCGTTTCCCAAAATACAGAGACGTACCGTCGGGGAATCCGCAAATGCTTCCTCGCAGAATGGCACATCCAACCAGAACACTCGTTTCACCCTTCGACAGGCACGACAGGCACGACAGGCGGCATGGCTGAACCCTGGTTGAGCGTCGTGGAAGCAAGGAACTCGGGTGGTGAAACGTCCTGTGCGATGACGTCGGGCAGCCAGACACGACATCTGGTTCGACACCTGATCCATCCCCACACGACTCGCCGGCCTCGGCCCAATAATAGCGGTAGATCAAGAGGACCTCACAATTGGCTTTGGGCTGATGAGGACGCGCGCAGCGACAACCGCTGGTTTTACCCCAGAGTGATCATCACCAATGCCTCGGTAGGGTCCGACGTTGGGCAAACTTTTGCTGGTACCTGATCATCTTTCGTTTCTTTCGAGAGATCTAATTCTCCGCAGGACCCCTGCTGGGCCTCCACCTGCTTCTCCATCGGGCACGAGCATGAGCTTGGAGAGGCAAGCTTCCTTTGTTCCTTGGTCTTAGTTAGATCCTGCAGAAGCAGCTCAAGCGACATGTTCCACCTTGGCTGCTCACGGAATTGGAATTTGCCCATTGTCGTCAAGGGATTTGGAGCTAGTTCCTGTCAGAATCACGGTCCAGCTCACATGCAGGGCTAACCTAGGTGGCCTTTCTTGATGGGTTCAGTATGCCCCGTTCTGCACAGATTGGTTTCTTTGTTTAGAGGTCCTGATCGAGCTTCCTCAGCTTGAGCTTTCTGCCCCCGAGGAACTGGAGCTCGTTGAGCAAGCTTTGACCACAGAGCAACCTAATTCTGCGGCGCACGTACACAGAATTCAAAGTGAGCCTGTCAACATCGCACGAGCAGCTTGTCTTTTTTACTTTCTTTGTTAACAGCCTGCTGAACCCAGTCCTTGCTGGACCCAACAAACATCTATTCACGCCACTCATAACGCCGTCAGCCATCCTATTCCTTACATAACCCCAAACATGCCTGATCTAAACCCCTACAACACTGCACGTCTCCTCTAACATCCAAGCTCGATGGCGTTAGCAAACAGGGCGTATGTGTCGGCGTGGTTAATGTTCTGGTCGGCGCTCAGGCTCTGGAGGAAGTTGTAGCCATAGCCACCGTAGTCGGAGGTACCCTTGATCTGGTTAAGATGGGTCATCTCATGCACGTTGGTTTGGGCCTGATCCTGGCCGTGGCAGGACGTCGTGGTAGCGGGCAGCTGCTGGAAGTAAAGGTCGCAGTAGGCCATGTAGCTTGCTCCGGGGACGGTGTAGGCGAGGACACCGCTCTGGCAAGCGCCGTACACGTCGGAGCAGTAGTACCGGGAGTCGCCGGAGTTGGTGGATCCACACTCGGAGGCAATTCGGCCGAAGACGTCGGCAACCGTCTGTCGGGTCTCATAGCTGTCTGACTTGAAGTACTCCTTCATCTTGTCGCCAGAACCGCTAGCGGCAGCCTGCTGAGCCTTGGAGGCCATGCTGGAGCAACGAGACAGAGCATTCTGAGTGATGGCGAGCTTGTCACCCGAGCAGTCGCTCTGAACCTGGGTGCGCTTGTGGTGGAAGGCGGTGCGGACGGAAAAGGCCTGGGGACCATCGACTTCGGCCTCGATGCGGTTCGAGTAGAAGGGCACAGAGCCGATAAGCTCAGTGCTGTCGTCCTGGGCGAAGGAGAGGGCGCCCTCGGCGAGGATGTTGAACTTGCCGCCAGCGGAAAGATCGTGGAACTCGGCGATATCAAAGTCGACTTCGATGGACTCGCCAGAGGGGATGCGCTGGAATGCAGTCTCTTCCAGGCGGCTGGTGTCGAGGGCGACGCGGACGCCGTCGAAGGGGATGTTCTTCTCTGTTGGCTGTTAGTGGCTGGGCAGAGCATGTTGATGGTGGATGTGGGAGCCAAGAACCCCAAGACCAGTCACCGAAGAATGAACCATATCAACTCGATACTGAGATTGTATCTTTTGAAACTGGGACTTTGGTTACATGGTTCTCGGGGTTTCGTCAAGCTCATGACATGCACTCTTGGAGACCATATCTTGGCATTATTTCCCCCTCAAACACAAGCAAGTCTTACCTCCTGAGTACACCTGAGCCTTCTCGACAGCAGTCGAATCAAGAAAAGTGCCCGACTTCAACAGCTTGAGGTTACTCTTGCCGTTGTTGGTGATGACGGCCTTGATCTTGGAGTTGCCCTGCATCTCCAGGCTAACATTCAAAGGGGTCGGGGCACGCTTCTCCACCAGGGGAGCGGCGACAGCCATCGAGGCGAGAGCGAGACCAGCAAGCAACTTCATTTTGAACGAGGGACTGTAAAGAATGAAAAGAACGAATGAATATATAAAAAAAGAATGAAAAAAGGAAAGGGTGGGGTTCAGCTGAGAGAATGAGAGGCTTGTTGAAGTTGAAGCATTTGCGGTGTCAAAGAATACTTATAGAATGTTGCTCACTAGATGCGAACCCCAGTCGGCTCGACATGATCCTTACCAGGAGGGCCTGCTTTTTCTCCGTGATTGAGCCTCGTTGGTGGAGACGAGATCAGGGTATGTTTCGAGGGTCTCCTAGCGAGTTCATATGTTTGACACAGCTGTCATGATTAAGGCTGTCCTGGTTAATATCGGTCCACGTCTCGATCTGGCCCACTGGAACGTTTCCAAGGCACCTTTGTTTCTTTTGGTTCCTAACGATCTTTCCGTTTCGATTCCTTCAAACAATATCGTTGTGTCAAACTGCATCACATTAAAGGACACTGCTCTCCGTTTTTTCGTCTCGACTTTGATGCGAAACCACCAACGTATCATCGCCAACAGGGTTCACGGACCGCATAGCCTCAGCCTGACACGCCAAACAAGGGGTTTATCGGTCGATTGGCGATTGGTGGGAAAGTCTACGACGGAACATCTTTTTAAGGCTGTGCGATGCGAATCAAGGTTAATTCTGGGGGGGAGATTGGAGGGTGCGCTGCGAGTATATTAACCAAGGGATTGTCCTTCCATCTCTAGAGGCAACCAAGATGGCTGTGAAACTCGTCAACCTGAAGCAGCGACGGCCTCTTTTTTGCTCGGCGTGCGAACCTCTCTGGATGGTTTGTTCACCATGTGATGAGGAGTTGGTGAGGGATGCCTTGTCGAGAGAGCATGGCGAGTCCGACGAGTTGGGCAGGTCATCTGAATCGGAGACGTTTATGCGTGTTGGTTTGCATCCAGTCGGCGAATTTCTGCTTGTGTGACAGATGACAAACTGTTTCCCGATGTCTTGGTTGTCAAACGAGATCGGAACGGTAACTGGAGCCATGCATATTGACAGGTCCTCTCTGTTGTTACAATTACTGCCTGGGATGGATCTCGATGCAGCACACACCATCTGCTACGATCACTGCGGAGAGGGCAAATCTGATAACAACTGGCAACACTTGTTCATCCAAACAGGGCAAAGTCACCTACGGGCCTTTATTCAGCTTCAATTAGTTTAACTTTAATAAGTTGATCTGACAAAACGAAAAATAAACTCGAGACAGTCTAAAAATCGAGGCCAGTTCATGAAACATTCCAAGCTGCCTATTCAAGAATCTCATGAGGAGAAGATCCCCTGGACCCCGGCCCCCTGTGTAATTAAAGTTGCCGCTTAGCGGGAATAATCATGCGCCGAAACACGTGAGGCGATCAACCCAACCCCCCTTTGAGATGCATTCAAAGGAGGCCACCCAAAAACCGACTCAATCGATAGCTATTCTATACGAAGAAGTTGTGCTTGCAATTATAATTGCTATACGGACCTCGACCCCGTTCTTTAGCTTGATGACGTCAGCCGTCCCCCGTTAGAAACGCCAAGAAAAACACCACATATCATGGGTCTTCTGGCTTCAAACAGTCTCCGTCTACTCATCGGCTTGATCATAACCATCGGCCTCATCGCCTTCCTATCACCATCTTCAGTACCAAACGTCAAAATCCCCGACTCAATCCCATTTAGGATGCCTGCCGCTTTACGCGGTCTGGAAGTTTCGCTTGAGCAAACGGAAAAGTCACCCCCCACACTCGTGGTGACCGTCAAGAACAACAATGAGGGACCTGTGACGCTTCTCACATACGGATCTCCCCTTGATCCTTTGGCACCTCAGCTCGGTATGCTGTACATCACGCCCGAGGCAGAGACGGAGCCTTTGGAGATTACGCAGCTGGAGGTTCAGAGGCAGTGGCCGCCTGCCGACGACGCTGTTGTGGAGATTGCTGCTGGGGGGAAGAAGCTGCATGAGCTCACTCTCATGGAACCTGTTATTCCTATGGATCTTGTGTTTGGTAAAGCGACTGTTCAGCTCAGGGGCAAGTGGCAGGCCGTCTGGCCAACTGAGAAGAGCGCCGTCAACAAGACAGCCCTGGAGGCTGGCGGAGCGGGAGAAGATGCTCTCACGGGCAGTTTTGAATCCAATATCATCGATATTGCCACCGACTAATGTAGTAGAAGGCAGGCGAAGGACGTACCAGCTCGGAGGGCATTCCAGTATTGTATGGTTGGGTTGGCGTTATGGTCTGGGATGGTGTGCTTCACTCAGCGGGCTGAGCTCCTGAGGCTGGGATCGGGTAAAATATCCCGAGGAAAAACATGTCGAGGGAAAGCTCATCGAGGGGAAATATGCGCCTTTGAGAGAATTGTTCAATAAAAAACAAGTTTGTCTATGTCAGTTAGACTTGTTGTCTTGATGTCTCTGCCTGGAGTAACTTACCTTAGGTTGATGATGCAGTTTGACCAGCGACGCACAACACACGCTACACTATACATCTGAATAGTATACATAAGCGCAGAAAGATTGCCGTTCTATGCCCATGCATACGGACAAGATTTAATGGTCTAGGCTGATGTGGATGTGATCATGGAAGGTGGTCACACATAGGTGTGCGATCAGTCCGCCGATCACGGCAAATATTCACCACTAGGAAAATAGATGTTGACGTTAGACTGTCAAGTTAATGAAGCTAGTGGATTATAAGTACGTAAGGAACAGTTCGCAACTCCTACACCACCACCCAACACAGCGCAGAACAGGGCCGTCTCATCACCACCTCCTGCAACATCCTCTCTCCCATCAGCCCTCGCACAAGCAACCATGGGAGGAGGGAAGCCCCTTGGAAAAGTCGTCTGCATCTCCGCAGCAGACAAGCTCCCGTCCGGATACAGCCGCCTCGAGCAAGGCAACCCCTACCTGACGAACAACTGTCGCAAGCAAGCCACCGAACAAAAGAAAGACTACTACCAGTGGCAAGAGAAAGGCCGCCAGATCATGGCCTTCCCAGCCAGCATCTTGAGAGCCGCTAAGCAAGCAGACCGAAGCACCAAATCTCGACGACTCCGCGCTGTAAAGAAGTCCGACAATAAGCTCCGAAAGGAGTTTCTCACCACCTTGCGCGCCGACTATCCCGGTATGCCGCGGGGGGAGCGGACTCAGCTTGCGAAACTACAGATGGAGAAGGGACAGAATCGTATTGCGCGGAGCCGCAAGCTTCCCATGGCGAAGCGGGTTGAGGTGGCCGTCTGGGCACATGCTTGGCATGTACAGGAACGAGAGGGGAAGCGGGCGGTTGAGACTCTAAGAGAGTGGCAGGGAAAGACAAAGAAGATCTGAGAGCATTGTTTCCTGTGGAAGGAGTGGTTGATGTGTTTGAGAACATGGTGAGATGGGGATGCTGATAGCAGGCCTCTGTGAGAGCGTAACTAGCTTGGAGTCTGTCATTTAGATACGCGACTTGCCTTTCTTTAGGACTGATGTGTTACGATTGGCAATAAGAGATGGTGCCTGTATTTAGAGACTGCTTGCGATAGGGCTTGGGTAGATACGTGATGGTCAGCATTGCAGTGATCACGCATGCGGCTATCTGGGTATGATGGAAGAAGAGAAAACTTCCTGACCGGAGGTCTCCATGCTTTCATATGATTTGTGCGGTAGTTAACACCCTGATGAGCACACATCCTCTATTGTATCATTGTTTACATGGTCGATTGCAAGTCACACGTACCACATGATCCTACAGCCTCTCAGATCCTATCAAGCAATAGACGATGCGGGGACTGAACATGTGCCCAACCAACTGGTGCGATACGACTCGCGCATAGATACAGCTGCAGCTGCAGCATTTAGCCGGCTGTTGATGTCGATCAAAGACAATCCATCGGGGAATATCGCCCTTAATTGTGTCACTGGCCTGTGGCGTGTTGTAAGACGATGCCCCTCTCCCCGCTTCCTACTTGTCACATTGTTTGACACTGGATACGTAAATGGGAGGCGGCTCTTTCGATAATGTAGTTTTTATATAACGGAAAGCCGGCCGTTGTTAATTATAAAAATCTTTGTTTATTTCAAGAAAGCATACTGCATTTTATGAGAATACAACAGCTGCGCGCGTCCCTCGAATGAACCACAATGTCACCACCTAAGATCGGTGATGACTTTGACTTCAACGCTGCCACCAGAGCTGTCCGAGATGGTACTCTAGATCTTGATTCAGCTGCAAAGGCCTTGCTGTCTCGCCTCAGTCTTCAAGAACGCCTCGGACTTCTCGATGGCGACCAAGATTTCTGGCCCGGCCTGTACGGCATGAGTACCACAGGCTACAACCGAACACCTTACATCCACGGCGAAGTCAAACGTCTCGGAATCCCTGGTGTTCGCTTCGCAGATGGCCCTAGAGGCTGCGTGATGGGCAACTCGACGGCTTTCCCTGTTCCCATGGCTCGTGGTGCTAGCTGGGATGTCTCCCTTGAGGAACGAATCGGCAGAGCCATCGGTCGCGAGTGCAGGGCTCAAGATGCAAACTTCTTTGGAGGCGTTTGCGTTAATCTCCCTCGACACCCAGCTTGGGGTCGCATTCAAGAGACTTATGGCGAAGACCCTGTCATTCTTGGCGAGATGGGCGCTGCGCTCACGAGGGGCATTCAAGAGAACGTCATGGCTTGTGTAAAGCACTACGCCCTCAACTCGATGGAGAATGCACGCTTCCACGTTGATGTCAAGATAGACGAAGCTGTTCTGCACGAGGTCTACCTCGCTCACTTCCGTCGCATCGTGGAAGAGGGTGTCGCGAGCGTCATGTCGTCGTACAACTCTGTTCGCGGCGAGTTCGCAGGCCAGAACAAGGAACTTCTCCTCGACATCCTTCGAGATCAATGGGGCTTCAAGGGATTTGTCATTTCCGACTTTATGTTTGGACTGAGGGATCCCGCACTCTCCCTGAGGAACGGACTCGACATTGAAGCGCCGTTTCGCCAGCAACGGGCGTGGAAGCTTGAGGCGGCGTACAAGAATGGAGAGATTGAAGACTCTCATATCGAAAGAGCTGGAACCAATATTCTTCGACGTGTCATCGAGGACCAGGTCGTTCGTGGAAATGCGAACCTTCATCCTGATATTGTGTTCAGCGAAGAGCATCGCCAACTGGCTCGAGAGGCTTCCGTCAAGTCCATGGTGTTGCTCAAGAATGAAGAGGTCGACGGCACCCCGGCACTCCCCCTCAAGTCAAACATTTCCAAGATAGCCGTTGTTGGACGCCTTGCGAACTCGACCGACACTGGAGACAAGGGATCCTCATCGGTGCGGTGCCCAGAAGTTGTTTCACCCTACCAAGGCTTGAAGAAGGCTCTTCCCCAGACAGAAGTGACTCTTGAAGAGTCCGAAGACCCTGACAAAGTCAAGGCTGTGGCAGGCGCTGCTGATGTGACCGTTGTCGTCGTTGGCTACAACTTTGAGGATGAAGGAGAATTCAACGTGCCAGCATTCGAGACCAACCCAGCTGTGAACTCTGTCCTTCCGCCAAGTGACGGATCAGAGGAGTCAAAGTGGGTGTTTGAACAGTGGACGGTTCCGAAGGAGAAGAAGAAGGAGAACCATTCAGTCGCGACTGGAGGTGATCGAACCAGTCTGAGACTACGACCCCAGGATGTCGAGGTCATCAAAGCCGCCGTCGAAGCTAACCCACGGACGATTGTCTCTATCGTGGCTGCTGGGGCCGTCATCACTGAAGAGTGGAAGAATCTCCCTCCAACTATTATTCTCAGCTGGTATTCAGGCTGTGAGGGTGGCCATGCCCTGGCTGACCTACTGCTGGGCAAGACCAACTTTAGCGGCCGGCTTCCATTCTCGATCCCCACGACGGAGAAACATCTGCCTTATTTCGATAAAGATGCGGCCGAGATTGAGTACGACCGATGGTTTGGCCAGCGACTGCTTGATCGACTTGATGTGAAAGCGGCATACCCTCTCGGCTTTGGGCTCTCGTACACGTCCTTCGCTGTGTCCGACTTGGAGGTCGAGAAGAACAAAGACAATGCAGAAGAAATAATTGTTAGGGTTAACGTCTCCAACACTGGAAGTCTGGCTGGAAGATACGTCGCTCAAGTGTATGGAGTAGTTGAGGTGACCGACTGGCCCAAGAAGAGTCTGCTCGGATTCCAAGCTGTTGATCTCGATGCCGGGGAGCAAAAGAAGGTGGAGGTACGCGCATCTACTAGGCCCCTCCAAAGATGGAAGCTTGGATCTTGGGAGCTTGTCAGCAAGACTGTCGAGGTAGAGGTTGGAGGCTCGTCTAGCGATGCCGAGGGTGTGAGGACTGGGGTTGAGCTATGAGTCGTTCACGAGCCGTGATGAAGGAATAATTCGAGCCTAGAATGATGATATCGCAGTGGTCAATAACCTGAAGTATAAAGATACTGCCTCTGTCCGATACACGTAGCTCTGTCACGCTCCACAAGCGACCTTCGCCTCAGTCCCACTCACTTCTCTTCCACCACAGGCGTATTGGAGGACTCATGGTGCCCGGGAGAGGTTTCGACTCCAGGAGAGATATTCCTCCGCGGCATTTCCATAACAGGGTTGACCTGGTAGCCCTCGCTCAAGGTTTCGTAGCCAAGACGTGTCTTGACCTCGTTGTCTTGCTGAACCAGAGAGCAACAAGGACACCAATATGAAGCGCAGCAATCCGAAGTCCTCGATCCTTTGATGCCAAATTTGTCGCGTATCTCCGTTCGATTCGTCATGTTGTGACTGCACGAGTTAGCTGCAACCAGAGGCAATCGCGAGGAAGATACCCACATCTATCCGCAACAGGGGAGAGCTTGTGGGAGATGGGAGAATACGCAGTCGCTTGTGGTGTTTTCCACAGTCTGGGTGCCTGAACTACGGAGACGTGCGGTGGTGCGCTTGGAAACTATAGACTCATCAGTCACCCCGAAATCGGTGCCATGCTCCTCAAATCCAACATACAGTAATCTGGGAAAAGCAAGCTGAGCACACATGAGTAGCCGGGAGAACAGCTGCAGAGCCCATTCTGCCATTCTTGTGTGCGCTTCGGGATCAGCGTCGGGATGGATGGGAAGAGTTGGGCGAGCTTGCTGGGGACGGCTAGGAGGATAACCATTGCGATGGTGACGGAAGAGAGTGAATGCCGGATGATGCTTGAGACTCCAGCGAGAGGACCTAAAAAGCGTGTTGATGAAGAATGGAGAAGCCGTGCGATGGTCAATCATTGTTGCTCCTGCCGTGACTAGCCAACGAGCCCAGGGAAAGAGCATCGCTCGTGCTCTTTCCAAGGCGACCATCTCGAGTCCTCTAGGATCAGAGATTTTCCGACGGCTCATTATCCAGGCTGAGCTTGCGGAAGGAGAGGCAGTCTCGTACTCCTCTCAAGTGTCCATTGAGCGGATTGACAAACCATGTGCGGAGCGAGCAGAAAGACAAAGAAGAAACCTATTGACGAATGTCGATATATCGCGACAACTTACAACTCCATATATCCATATCAACTAGTGCTTTGAACTGCCGCTGGCCAGAATACGATTCATCCCGTCAAGACTGGCGAGAGGACCTCTCGCTAACCTACCTTTAACACGAAGCTGACTAGTATCCTCAGTCCCGATAGCCAGTTGTCTGAGAATGCCCATTTTTACTTCGTATCTTTCGCAAGTCCCATGAGCTGAGAATCGTTCGTGTCGCTGTAGTACTTTAACCGGAAGTCTTGACATCATTGGTCTTTGAGATCCTTGTCAGGACGTCAGACTCAATCTTGTATAAAGAGGGAACACACCCCGCACTATGGATCAGCATCACAAGTAAATTACACTCCATACTCGACCATGTCTGTTCCATGTGTTCCATCATCATTCCCAGCTCCTAACCTCCTCGGAGCCGAATTCCTCGCCATAGAAGCAGGCATAGTAACAAACTACTCAACTTCAGTCCCAAAAGGATGGCGCTTCTCCCAACCATCAATTAACGTGCAGAATGCCACCTTTTGCAACGTAACATTGACATACACCCACCCCGGCCAAAACGACACCCTCAACGTCGAAGTATGGCTTCCTCTTGCTGAAGACTGGAACGGCAGGTTTCAGGCCGTTGGGGGAGGCGGGTGGCATGCTGGCCGGTTTCTGCTAAGTGAGATGAGTATGGCAGGGGCTGTTGCTGATGGTTATGCTACTGCGACTACGGATTCTGGGGTGGGCGATGCTTATGATCCGCTACCTTGGAGTTTTATTAGTCCTGGGAATATTAATCTGTATGCGTTGCAGAATCTTGGGCTTGTATCGTTGGGTGATGAGGTGAGTGAGTGAGTTGCTGGCAAACACTCGAGTTGATCTGACAGTCACAGGCAATTATCGCTAAGGATGTCATTAACAGCTATTACGGCAAACCACCTTCATACTCTTACTGGAATGGATGTTCTCAAGGAGGTCGCCAAGGCGCAGTGCTCGCTCAGCAGTTCCCAACAGCCTACGATGGGATCATCTCCGCCGCTCCAGGTATACACTGGGCCGAGATATTTTTCAGCAATGTCTGGCCCACGTTTTATATGGAAATCACAAAGCAATACCCTTGGCCCTGTGAGCTCAATGAGCTTACGGTAATTGCTACGTCAATCTGTGATCCTTTAGATGGAGTCGAGGATGGACTCATCTCGGATCCTGAGGGTTGTCGTGCTGCCTTTAATCCCTTTGACCATGCCGGAACTTCATTCAAATGCGTGGAAAACGGCTTTGTCGATACAATAAAGATTACAAAAGCGGCTGCCGCTGTGGCAAACGCAGCATACAAAGGACCAGTCTTCTCCAACGGCAAACCACTCTGGTACGGCTTCGAAATCGGCTCAGATCTCACATACATTGCACCAACAAACTGCACAAACACTGGATGTGTCGCTACAGGACACGAAATGATCAAGATTTGGCACGATGCATTTGACGTCACCAAAACTCCGCTTGACTTCTCCAACTTGACTCATAAAGACTTTGACAACATGTATCGAATGGCAAAGAGGACGTATGCACATTTTCTGGCTACGGATGAGCTTGATCTGTCCAAGTTTAGGGACGCTGGAGGAAAGATGATTACATTTCACGGTTTGGTAGGTCTTATTCAAACTGTCTTATGAGAATGGTAGTCACTGACATTGACAGGCTGACCCTGTTATCCCGGCCGAGACCTCTCTCGCCTATTATAAAGCTGTATCATCCTTCCTTGACGACACCCAAGACTTCTATCGCTACTACCGCGCACCAGGTCTCAGTCACTGCTTAGGAGGCCCCGGTGGACAGCCGGAGCAACTTTTCGCGCAACTAAGAGAATGGGTAGAGAACGGCAAGGCACCTGAGGAATCACCCGTCCTCATCACGACGCCAGACAACAAGACTCAGCAGCAGATATTGTGCAATTTCCCTAAGACGGCTGTCCTGGATCCTTCATGTTCCGACGCCAACAGCACAGCGTGCTGGTCCTGCTCCGATGAACAAACCCCTTTCAAACGGAATGGCCAACAGATACTATACTAGCTAAACTTTTGCAATTTCCCCTCAATCTGGTCACGTCCTCTCTCCAGAAATTACTTCCCGTGTCGGTTTCCCTTCTGCTCAATCTCGCCCTCAAAGCCAAAAGTGAATGGAACCTGGTTGCCAAGGAGCCTCTCAGCCTCATCCCGCTTCGCCGTGCCGTATCCCATCTTGAAGCCCCTCACAGAATGATTGACCTGGCCTCTGTCGAACAAAGGACCTCCCCATTCTACCCTATTGAGTCCCTGTCCGCGGGTGGCGGCCAAGATACTAGAGAAGCGCGAGTCTCGCCTCAAGCCGCCGTTGTGTCGCAAGGCAATGGTCCCGGCTGCGACGCCCAACGAAGCAAGTAGCACAGAGACGCCGTAGACTGCCCAGAGAGTAACTGCCCTGTACTGATATCTGCTTACTGGCTGCGATCGCCGACACGGATATTTGCCGCTATCCTCATTGAACAAAACTTGTTTCTCTGGATCAGCGGCCCAGACAACCATGGCCCACTGCTGGTTTGAGAGCAGAGAAAAGAGTATGTCCTCAAAGACGCTAGGTACCACATCTTGAAGATTCTCCGCTGGGAAATAATCGCCGTTGCTGGTGACCTTGGTGAACAGAGCATTCTTCCCGTCCACACCACCTGGACTCATCAATATGGGCCCGTTGAGGAGTGCGCGGAAAAGAAAGCCCAGAGCGTGATATGTAGCTGTCTTTTTATATCGAGTTGTGTTCCCATAAGGAACGTAGTTCTCTGGAGGTGTTGCCGTGGTCTGGTCTGTGGTCCGGTTGTCTCTGATTCCCCTGCGATATGTCGTGTTGACTACAGGTGAAAGAGGAGTGCGCTCCACGACCTTGATAGATTGTAAGCCGTCAACATACTGATAGTCCAGTTTGTACTTCGTTTCGTAGTACTCGCAGGCCATCAGGGTGGGAACAAGGGTGTCTTCATCCTGCATGGCCTTTTGGGGGTCGAGAGGCCTCTTGACGTCTTTGGCCGTCTTGACGTATCCAATCCATACGACGGGCTCTGTGCGGAAAGAACCAAAGTTCCTGGGCTTCGGCTCTTCAGGGAACCCATCAGCGTCAAATTCCGACGTCTGTGGCAAACTATAATCCCCTTCCGTTGTGTTGCCAAGGTAGCTCAGGTTGCCGACTGGGAGGAGGACCTCATTAAATGGGAATGGAGGACTTATCTCTCCAGACTGTTGGGAAAGGTTGCGCACCTCTGATCCAACTCCGGAGCCGAGTTCAGTACATTTGTAACCTGGCCCTTTCATCTCAACCCTGACGGTGCAGTTCCACCCTCTAGCACAAGTCTCGAGCGTCGAGTTGTCGTATGTGACTGGCCTTCGCAGAACTGAGGATGCATCGGCCAAGATCTGGACTTGGGTATCCTGTCTGTCATAGTAGCCGACCGTCTCTGCTGGATCCCGACTGGTGTCGTTGTATCTGGCCGGGCTTAGGGGGTTTAGCCCACTACCCTTTTGCCTGGCACCGTTTGGCCAAGTGTATGCGGCTTCAAGGTCAAAGTTTAGACTTCTAACACCGCTGCAGGTTGTATTCTCATGCATGAACTCTGGTGGCGCGACGAGGAGGGTATTGGCAGTGATGATGACGATGGCTGGAGCACACCTATCCAAACAACAGTCAGTAACCAGACAAGATGAGCCATGGCAGAGTTGACGTACCAGCCGAAAAGCGCCATGGCAACAGCCATCTTGGCTTTGGTTAAAAGCTCCAAGTTGAGCATATCCAGCGGGTTCTCCGTGGCCGCAAACATCGAGTCAAGGGCAACAACAGTCAAGAACCTGGTTCTGACCGTTGCCCAGACTTGTTGGTCAAATGCGGACAGGACTGCAGCTGTCAGGCTGGCCTTGCAGGCAAACGCGAGCGCGGTGCCCCAGCGCAGCATGCGAAGCTGGTCGTCGACGATCTCGCCATCGAGTGAAGAGTAGAAGAAGTGATGGCCGATCGCAAAGCAGACGCCGACGACGAGAAAGAAGTACATGCTGTAGGTGGCGACCCATGGCGAACTGGGGAAGCGTAGCCATACTGCCCTCTTCTGAAACTTGGGCAGAGGCTGTTGAGTCGGGTTGTAGGTGCCATGCCCGTTGACACCCACTGGGACAACCGTGGGAACAGCAACAGACTTGAGAGGGACGGATTCTCCCCCGCTTCTCTGAGCAGGTAGATGAATCTCATCCCAAGACTCGACGTCCTGCACTCTGGGTGCGGGGGGCGAGGTTGGATACCCAGGGGGCGGGCTTGGGTAACCGTCGGATCTCTGCATGGTAATGTCTGTCTCTGTGGAACAGGGCTTGAGACGAAGATAATCCTTGGAAGAGAACATTTTCGTCCGAGAATTGTCGACTCTTATCCTCGTCTGTCGACCAAAAGTGCAAATGTCCAGACCAAAACATGCATGAAGCTGAAGTACTAAGCCCTCCTCCACACCAAGCATATGCAGCCTCATACATGGTACAAGAGGCTCTGAATGGATCCTCCGCAGAAGATGTGTGACACGGGGCATATGGCCCCCAAAAGCCCCTCAGAAGCTGGGCATCCCACTGCATGCATCCCGCGAGTGAGGATTGCGTACCGTTATGTGATAACGTCGTTGATGCAGATGGTGGAGGCTCGTGCTGTCACTTGATGTGATTGTCAAAAAAGAGCATTGGCTAGGAGATATGCATGTTTTTAGCTGCATGTTGGCACCATTGAGGATTCGAATGGTGAGAAGAGGCGCCTGTCGGCTGTGACTTGTTCCTCCAAATCCTATCAGGCTGAGGCAACGCGTTATGCCCAAGGCCTGGATTTCATATGCCGTCGTAAGCTGACTGTCACTCAACATTTGCACAACTTGAGAATTACTGCCATGTTTGGTCATACATGTTTCTATTCGGGTCTCGCTGTCGACACAAGTCTATTCCCTCGTGGCTGAGAGTGAGCGAGGAGGACGACTGAGGCAGCCTACATTGCTGCTAAAGAAGAAGATCCCCAACATCTGGAACTGGCCCTTCCTGAACCCACCACATCTTCTGTACCCTATTTGTAAAAGGGCCGCTGCCAGTGTCCACATAGTCCCAGGGCCCGTCTTCAGGAAAGTGTGCCGCTCCAAACGCTCGCTCTACCCTGCCCAGTGCCCCGGATTTCCGGGATGGCTCTGAGATTGACCTGGCAATTGAGGCCCATTTATGCTGAAGATCGAAAACATGTTCTGAGACGTTGCGTCGCTCTTGCATGAGAGTTTTGTGCTCCAGCGGCCACAAGATATGGACGGTTCTGAGACGCGGAATCTCCCATGGGATAATGGTGTCAGGGTCTTCATCGAGACACTCAGAGATCAAGCGGACCATTTCATTGGTCAAGAAGTTTCGAATCTTGTTCTGCGAATCTTTGAAATAGTTCGCTTCGATCCCGTGCTCTTCTTTATGCTCGACCAGAAACCAACTTTCAGGGCCAGCTGATTCTATGCCGACTTTGTAAAGAGGATTGGACGAGAAGAGATGCAGTAAGCCATCGGCTTCGACGACATCTGTGCAGCTCCAAAGCTTATTGGTATCGTATGCATGTCGCTTCTGATGTTCTGTGTCCAGTCGAGCCTCACTCTCAGGCTCACTCTCAGGCTCGTCCTTGGGGATGTTCGTTGTAAAATCGCCAGGTGACCAATCAACAAGCAACAGCTCCTCGAGACCGTTGAATGGTCTGAGAACGCCCAGGAGTTCCATAGCGTAACCGTCAATGCTGTGGTCTGTTTGGGTGAGTAGGGCTTGAAAATGGGCACCTTTCCATAACGCTAGCTTCCGCACCTGTCGCAACTCCGCTAGATCGAATTGGCCTATATCCCACGGGCTGTATCCGTTGAGTACCCCGGATTCGTCGTTTTCTGATATATCATCAAGCTCGTCATATTCCAAGTACAACGTATCCCGATCGAAGTTGAACCACGTTCTTGGACCACTCGACCGCGACCGAAATGCGAGCTGGTAACCCATCTTGATGAGCGCAGCACGAGACTCCTTGCATGTATGGAGCAGGGCAGGGATAGGGGCATTGCTGTAAAGGTTGCATCTCCTCGCAAACTCCCAAGCGAAATGTGGGTTCTCACATAGCCAGTCGAGGGGAATCTCAGGTGCGGAGGGAGTAGGCACCCATGGCCGAACGCGTGGTTTGGTGCTGGTGAAGCCGAAAGAGTCGAGGGTGAGTTGGTCGCCCAGGCTCGGAACACGGCGGCGCCAGTTGAAGGCCAAGGCTTCGAGGGAGCTGTCGAGTTTGATCGGATTCAGTGTTGTACGGAGCGTCTCGCAGAAGTCCTCCTAGTCTTCTTCGATGTCCTCTTGAACATGGACAACTCGGGGCGGTGTGGCCAGCCGGTAGATGTCTAGGCGAAGCTCCACGGGGAGTTTGACGAAGGGGTGGAATTGAGTCGGAGCCATGGCGCTGCTTTGAGGGTGAGGTGCGCCCCATCGATGCGCTGTGGAGGTTGCGGCTTGAAGTTGTGAAGCTGTGCGGTTTGGAGTTGGGGCCTTCTGTTTGTTTATCTTTCTGCCTGAGAAAAATTCTCAGGCAGCAATATGTGTGTGGCTTGCGATTCACGAGGCTCGTTACAATGGATATGTGGCGATGCTCTTTACCTAAGGGTTAGGACCCAGTTCCTGCGAGGCACTGCCAGCGGATGTACGGTTGAATGAGGCTCTCGCAGCCTCCACGGCTGCCTGATGTTCAAGCAAGCCCTTTCTCATGGGTAAAAACCACTTTCTTAAACACCAGGTTTCGATCAACATTTTAGATTTCCTAAAGAAATTGCTATTGTATTCTTTTAATGTATAAATATGGTGGTAACTACGAAACATCTCTCTCCGAGTCAAGGTGGGATGGACCAGGGAGGTCCTTGAAGGTTACCTGACGGTCAACAGAGAGCTACCAAATGTTAGCTTGCTCTTCCTTGAAAGGAGATGGTTTCGTACTCTTGTTCCCTTCCCCATATTCATAATCAGAGCTTCTTGTGAGAAAACGATAAAGCTCTTGTGCAGATCAATGAGCCCCTGCCCGCTGGCAGCCCCTTCAAATTCTCTCTGAGCCCTCCTAAGCGCGGTCACAGATTCCGCACCTGTAAGAAACAACTTGTAAACCAACGCATACTGAGGCATATCAGCACCACTAAAATACGAGTTCAGGTCAAACTTGTCGGAAACGGCTCCGACATTGCAAATAACCCCCCATACATCAGCCTGGCAGTGAGCTTCCAATGACTTCAGTAAAAGAGGAGTCACAGTGTGCTCCAGATTACTTCCGTCTCGAACATCATCCGGTGTGGAGATGAAGTACATGGCGACAGTTGCATCTCCAACATCCAAGTCAGCGTTCCCTGCCTTGGCTCGCTCCTTAGCTGCTGCGGTTTGCACTGGTATAGGTTTCTCGTATGCCATCAAAACAACGCTTGTTTCAAAGTCTGCAAAGAGAGGCCCATCCGGCCCGATGGTGGTCTTGACATATTCGGAGGAAAAGCAGGTTATAACGTGGTCCCAGTCCCGGAAGAAGAGCTCTGTTGTGTCATCTCTTCCAACCCAATGTTGATTGGCATTAAGTGGTCCATCAGGCCGTGGGCCAAAGGCTGAATCGAAAACTTGCGTCTGGATGTACTTGCTGGGTTGGAGATTAGCGACGCTCTTCGAAACGAAATACGTGTGTTGTATCCGAAACAGCTTGACAGTACAGGTGCAAAGTGGAGGTTGACATACTGTGGCTTATCGTCTTTATTCTCGGTACCATCCGACAAGCTTCCGTGAATACGGAAGCGGTGGTCGAAGTACTCTTTGCGTGTCATGTTTGGCTTGCGCCGACCAGCGGCAATCTGTTTAATACAGCCCGTCATTTTTTAAGAGAATCAACCAAGTCTAAAGTAACGATAGAGTTGGAGCGAGGAGCGGTAACAAGTCTTGAACTGAGATTGTACAACTACAGATATATGCACTTCTACCCAACTACTAGGACACAGACTAGATGAACCCGAACTATCGGCTCTAACGTTTTGGCAAACACGATACTCGGTAAAGTGGAGCCGACGCTGCAATAATCACAAGACGACTTCCCGATGGAGAGGAGCAGGTTCGCGGACGGAGTTAAGGAATTGGAGTTGATCGTCTCGGTCCTTCGGCTCCAATACTCTGGGGCCGTCTAGAGGGCATGGCAAGCCGGATGTTCGGCACATGTCATAGGGCGCCTGAATTCCCAACGGAGACGAAACACCAGCGTCGAAAATACACTCGGTGGTCTAGCTAGCATTGTTGAAGAACTTGGGTCATTTGAGTAAGGGTTCTGCCTATACTTGGTGCACTCTACGAGCTAGTACCAACTCTCACACAACATACGTGACCAGCTTTCTACGTGAGGTTCCGCTTTCCAGAACCCTCAAGCCATCCTGAACACTCTCAAGTCCATCAAGCTCTTCATATTCGAGCGGCGTGATGTGGCCCGACTTTAATTACTGGTCAAGGTTCCCCCAAAGCCACTTGCCAAGTTCAAGCCCGGCTGCTGATGGCTGACCCCCCATTGTCTTTCCCATGATCTCGCCACTATAGACAGGAATAATTTGAACCCCTTCGATGTCAGGCCCGATATACTTGATTGCGGTAGTCACCCTTGCTGGCTTCTCACAGCATTCAGCAATCTTGGCCGTAGTGTCACTTGTGACAACCGTGTCGAAGGCGTGGCGTAGGTTTGGTGCAACAGCGCGAATCTTCTTTACCAAGTCCGACTCAGAATTCCAGAAGATATGGTCAGCGCCCCTTGATGCAGCTTCTGCTTTGGTTTCATCTCTGGACGTAACTGCAATGACAGAATAGCCAGACATCTTGGCAAGCCGGATGGCAAGTCTGCCAACGCCACCATTTGCGCCCTTTTACGAGTCAGAAACGTTTTCAAGTGATGGGGAGTAGCACAAACCCAGACGAGTACTTGGGCACGAGTGGTATCGGATTCATCAGCGACTTTCGCGAGGCCTGCTCCAAGATACAAGCCGCATGCTGCGGTGGATAGACTGAAGGGAAGAGTCGAAAGGCCAAGCACAGATATGTGAGACGTAATCTGCAATGTATGATTGCCGTTTGTCAATTTCTATTCTCTCGCGCACTTCGGATAAAGGCTTTCGCGGATAGGTTTACTGACCTTGGCGCAATGATCCTCATGAACCAGCGCATGTGTCTGAAAGGAGCAACCATCGCTATAGCCGACCGTTCCAGGTGCCACTATCAGATCTCCTTTTTGGAACCCTGTGGAGTGGCTGCCGTCCAGGACTTGTCCAATAATATCCATGCCAAGAACTAGATTAGGTAGGTTGGCATTAATAAACGAGAGCTAGTTGGTCTGGAGTACAGAATCTCTCCATGTGTAATTGAACATACCATGAGGAAAGTCCGGGATGGAGAGATTCTTCTTTATTCTCTTCCAGTCAAGGTGGTTTAGAGACGTTGCTAGAACTTTAACCTGGATATATGAAGGTCCAGGAGGGTTCGGAGTGTAAAACTCCAGCTGCAAGCGCTCATAGGGGGGTCGGAGAACGAGACGTCTTGCCATGACAGCTGCGTGTGTAATCAACAACGGATACTCGAAAATGGGTTCTTCTGCTCGAGGACAATCGTTGTTCTTCTGTCCTTACAGACTTCAGCCTTCCGGAATGTGGTCCAAGATGCCGACTCTGGGTCGGACATGCTAATTCCGCGCCTCCGCTCCCGTTGTGGAGGTTGAGGTAGGAAAGGCGCTATATGTGGGAGCTTGAGAGATGCGGAGAGCAAAGGGATGTGGAGAAGAGAGGGATGTGGAGGAAAGGGATGTGGAGGAGAAGGAGATAGGAAGGCTAACGCCGTCGAACATATATACGTACGACTTGGTGATGCATAACACCTGAGAGCTATGTCCAACACAGTATCTGAACACTTGAGATAACAGCGCCTATTCATCATGCCTTCATCACAGGAAAGTCCCCTCAACGTGATCATCGTTGGTGCTGGACTTGCTGGACTCCTCGCCGCGCGAGTCTTGCGCGAGAAACACAATGTCAAAGTCTATGAATGAGCTTCTGCTCCCGCCGAGGTTGGTGCCGCTATCAACATAGGACCAAACGGAGTCCGAATCCTCGACACCTTAACGCGGGGTCACAAGCAGTCGGCGCCACCAAGATCTTTACGAGAGATGGGAAACTTACGCTAGATGAGAGGCACAACTACGCTGAGAAATATGGAGCCGACTGGCTCTTTCAGCATCGAGCGGATTTAAGGAACGAGTTTTTGCGGCTTGCGACAGAGGAGACTGCCACCTCGGGCATTCCTGGGAAGCCAGCCCAGATCTTCTGGGATCAAAAGGTCGTTGACATCTCGCCAGAACAAGGTTGGATCGCTCTTGACACTGGTGAAAAGATCCAGGCCGATCTAGTCATTGGTACGTTGTTTAACAAAACCAAAGAGATCGAGCCAGGAAACTAACAACGGGGAACAGCTGCCGATGGCATCAAGTCCGTAATACGCCCCCATGTAGTCGGCGACGCCGCATTTCAGACTGCGAGACCATCAGGCCTATCCGCGTTCCGGTTCACCTTGGAGGTGGACGAGATCAAACAGTCACTGAACGAAATCCCCCAAATTCTTCAGCCTGACCAGCCAACGTGCTTGTCCATGGTCTATTCCTTTGACGACAGCATGCGCTCAGTTGTCATGTATCCTTGCCGCAACTTCCAAATCCTGAATTTTGTGTGCATTGTCCCAGACAGCAGCTTAAAGGAGGAGACCACAGAGTCATGGACTGCTTCTGGGGATAGAGAAGAGTTGCTGTCACTGTTTAGTGACTTCCCGGTGTGGGTACAGGACTATCTAAGGTATGGTTGCAATCTCGCAACTTGACACAATTAGACATGTCGCCAAGAACAATACTAGTCATCGTTGCCAATAGAATCGCAAAGAGCATCAAACTCTGGCAACTCAGAGACCAAGATCCGCTGCCAACCTATATCCGCGGGCGAACAGTCCTGATAGGCGACGCGGCTCATGCCATGACGCCTCACCAAGGGCAAGGAGGAACACAGGCTGTCGAAGATGCCGAGGCTTTCAGATTGTTCTTGCAACCAGGCGTCTCCAGTGCAGACGTGCCGCAATTGTTGCAAAAGCTCGACTCAGTGCGAAGGCCGCGTGCAAGCCTGATCCAGAACAATACTAGAAAGGCTAAGAACAAGAGAACTGCTGAAGAGGTGTATATGTTTGAGAAGATTAACTGGACATACCCGGGTATCTTTGAGGGGTTGAAACCTGCCAAAGTAGCTTGAGAAACAACCTTGAATACATTAAAGGACTACTACTCTGTGTTGCAAGAAAGGCTGGAATAATTCATGCCGTGACGGAATTATTTAGATGCGAGACGACATCCTTCTACGTCTTTGCCGAAAGCAGCTCAGGGGCCGGTATTGACACACCCATGAAGCTATCGGCGTGTCAGTCCCATGTCTCTGTGTGGACGGCTTGGCATCAACGTTGGGACGGGACAAACGCCCAATTTCTCCTGTCAATAAGGATCAGGACAAATACTGGGGTCTAGATCAACCCGGGGGTCTTTAGTACGTATCCCGTCAGTTTAGGCAGTTATAGATCTCGCCTATTTGGCGTCGGAGGAGATGAGGCTCGTGTTTTGTTGTGGTAAAGGGGCAATTGTCAACAACAACGGGTAGAAGCATGCTCAACCAACAATGAAATGCCGGCACCCGCGGGGATTGAATCTCCAGGCAGTCTCACCGGAAGACATGGGCAAGCTGCAGGAAGCAATTGAACCTCTGCAAACAAAAGCAAGGTGAAAGCCCTGCAACATGTTATTCTCAGGGGTTCCTCCAAATGAAGAACCAGTTCCCGTGGGACGGGATCCACCAACGCCCAAAGTGGACAGTTTAGCGGGGGAAGCTCGTCCCGCTAAGCTGGGAGCCCGCCCTCTGGAAGGCCGCTAAAGAGCCGCTAGCAACCTGGTGGGCTCGCTACCTGGCCGGCCCCACGTGATGTCAACAAGGGGAAGGAGACCATCGCGTCGATAGGTGGCGGCCGGGAGTTTCTCCAGGGGCCCGACAGGGCAATTAAGATGAACCCCTGGAAATAGGTTATGTTTTGCTTGCTGACACTGCAGGTAGGACAATCACGTCCTTCTTCTCATGACATTGATTCAGATCCTCAACGTCTTCCGTTTTGTTTGCTACAACTTGCGTTTGACTCTAGCCTTGTGTGTTGTGGCTCAGATTCGCCCTGTTCTTAGCTCCCGCAGCCATCCGTCGTCCACCCGCCAACGCTAGGACACTAAACAATCCATCGAAACATCCAGACCCCTCAGGACCCCTTCCCTTGGGTTACAAAGGGGAATTCGTCCCATCCCAATTCCGCCCTCGTGCAACAACAAGAAGCACTCCTTCCGGATAGACACGATAGAGGTCTGTGCCTTTTCTGGCCAGCTAGCTGCTGCGACACTGCTGCTACTCCAAATCGCTTCACGGGCCCACGACTTGGGCCTCCTGCATTGATCATGGAGGACTCCTCACAGAAGCGCATGAGCGCTATTCCTCGTCTCTCCAAGCTCCCCGTGCCACGTCCAACGTCTGGTCTTCCCAAGCCCACGACGGCCCTGCCAAGACCAGCCTCGATTATTCGTCCTTCACCTTCGAGAGAGAGCTTGGGAGGAGGCGAGCTACGGAATCCACGGCTGCGACCTTCGCTGTCGCAAAACCAACTGCGTAGCAGCATCGGTAGCTCTTCAGAACTTCGAAACCCTCGATTACGATCCGCCACATCCCGAGAACAACTCAACATTGGAACAAGACGAACTTCTCTAATCTCTAGACCCCCTCCCCAGGCAGCCGCCGCAAAGCCCATTCCCCCAAGAGCGCCCTCAACGCCTCGACGACCGACAGAGCGACAGCCCGAAACAATCGAGGAACAGTCCACAACACCTCCCTATGACCCGCCAGGCGAAGCGATTGGTGTCGAGTATGACGGACACATCTTTCACCGCCGGTTGACACTCACGCGGAGACCGTCAGAGGTTTTTGCAACCTCACCGCTTCACGACCCTGCCAACAACATCTTTGATCCCGAGCAGTCCAGACCGCCGACAGCCTCGACTGATGATGGAGAGCGCCAAGATACTCTCAGAGTTCGTTCTCGGAAACCACGGCCCTCGCTCTCAGAGCGAACGATCGAGACTCTTGCGTCAATCCCCTCTTCACCAGCCTTGAGCAAGAAGTCCTCCACCTTTTTCGATCAGGGTAGATCAAGATCTAGAGCCGAAAGCAGACCACGGTCCCGAGCCGATAGTAGGCCACGATCTCGGGCAGACAGTGGAGCTTCTCGTCCAGGATCGAGCTATGCATCGGATGCATCAGTAAGACTCTCGTCCAGGCCAGGAAGCCGGCCGGGCTCCAGCTCAGGGCCGGCCGACATCGGATTCTCAAACTTCAGAGCTTCAGCGAGCTCTTACAAGCCGCCCCTGAGCACAATCAGCGGAACTCCGCAAAAGAGATCCTCAGTGATCACGGGGGCCAGGAGTCCGGGTTTCCGAATGTCGACTCAGGGTCCCCCTGGTTCAGCCTCCAAGCTGTCAGCACTCTCAGCTGCAAGGAGTCCGAGCCCAGGCAAGCCCAACATGCCTCCTCCAAAAGCAGCCTCCAAATCATTAGCCGCACGACCTACCAAACCCAGAGCTCCTGTCAAGGGTCTTTTCAAGAAGCCATCCCTCCCGGCACTCAGCCAGGCGTCTCTGCATGGAGCCAATCGTGCATCTGGAAGTTCGTCAAACACCTCCTGGGATGGCACAATCCCGTCCAGCGCCTCAACAACAGCGTCCACTAACACGGCTTTGACAGGCGACTCGGCCGAACCAGGAACACCACCTTCTACCCGGAAATCGTCTGCCGCTCTCCGAGAGCAGATTGCAAAGGCCAAGGCGGCGAGGCGCGCTCAGTTGAAACAAGCCGCCGAGACCCACAAAGAGGAAGAAGACCAGGAGGCACCGATTATTCCATCAGACACTGGTTTCGATTTTGGAGTCAATCATGATCCTTTCAATACCCGCCGAGATGAAGACCCCAGGAAAAAGGTCATTCAGAACCGTGTCAATGCAGGAAGGACGTCAGGCCGGCTCAATATTGCTGCTTTGAACCTCAAGGAGATTCCTGTGGAGGTTCTAAAGATGTACGACCTGGAGAGCATTGGCACTTTTGGTGGCAGTTGGGCCGAGAGTGTGGACTTGAAGCGCTTCATCGCCGCAGACAACGAACTGGAAGAGTTGGATGACTTTATCTTCCCTGATACCAATCCCTCGTCATTTGATGAGGAACAAGCGAGTCATGGCAACATCTTTGCTGGACTTGAGAACCTGGACATGCATGGCAATCTCCTTGTTGGGGTTCCCCTTGGTCTACGACGGCTCAACTGTCTGACGTCGTTGAACCTGGTATGTAGACTACCAATTCTCGTTTTTTGGTATCGCTAACATTTGCAGTCAAACAACCGTCTCACCAACAACAGCATAGACACGATCGCGCAGGTTACTTCGCTTCGTGACTTGAAGCTGGCCAACAACCTTTTCTTCGGACCACTGAACGGGATCCTATCAAACCTGAACCAACTCGAGATTCTAGATGTCCATGGAAACAACATCTCTGCTCTCCCCGCCAAAGTTGAGAACATGTCTCGACTTCGTATCCTCAATTTGAGCGAAAACAGTTTCGAATCGCTTGCTTTTGACGGCCTTGCCACTCTCCCCATTACCGAGTTGAACCTAAGGAAAAACAAGCTGTCAGGCACTCTCATTGAGGAGCCAATCGGCTGCCTCCCTCAACTGCAGAGCTTGGATGTTTCTACAAACCAGCTGCAAAGATTGGTTCCTCTTGGCTCCGCCATAGAGTTCCCTGTCTTGCACTCCATGTCACTATCAATGAACAGGTTACAGGGGCTACCAGACATGACATCTTGGACAAGCCTCTTGACGCTGACGGTGGACGAGAATAACATTTCGGGCATCCCCAACAGCTTCATGAGTCTTGAGAAGCTTCGCCACGCCGACTTCTCCAGCAACGACATCAGAGTGGTCCCTCCTGAGGTTTCGAGGATGGAGAATCTTTCCATGCTTCGCCTCAGTGGCAATCCACTCCGTGACAAGAAGTTCCTCTCCATCACGACTGATGAGCTCAAGGATATTCTGGCTGGAAGACTAGAGCCACCGCCACCTTATCAGCAGGAAGCTGGTGCTCAGGTTGGTGTTGTGGGCATTGTGGGTGATAACAAGGCTGCACAGCCGCAAAACTCCGAAAAGGACATGAAATTTGACGATGAAGACTTCCGGTCTGATGATGACTTTGCAACGCCCCCTCAAAGTCCTTCTCGGTCTCGCTCGCACACAGTATCAAGCCGCCGTTCACGGTCACACACACTTTCGAACCAGTCTTGGCCTGTGAAGCCTGGCGGTATCTTGGATCGATCGCGAACCGAGTCCTCGTCCCTGCACCCTGTTGTGTCCTCCAAGGTCGCAGCCGAGAACCAGATTCGACAGGTGTTTCTCCATAACAACTTGTTTGCTACGCTGCCCAACTCTCTGAGCTTCTTTGCTGAGACGTTGACTGCTCTGTCACTATCGCATAACCAGCTAGTAGGCGAAGCATACCTGACAGAAGACCTGGAGCTTCCAGTCTTGAAGGAACTCAACCTATCATCAAATCACATTACCGGACTTGGTGCACTCACCAAGTTCCTCCATGCGCCAAAGATGGAGAAGGTTGACATCTCATTGAACCGCCTTAATTCTCTGCCCACGAATCTGAAAGAGGTGTTCCCTGCGCTCAACGTCTTGCTTGTGGCTAACAACCACATTGTGGACCTTGACCCAGACATGATCAGAGGGTTGAAGATTGTGGATGCTAGCAACAACGACATTTCCCATTTGAACCCTCGAATTGGTCTTCTTGGAGGCCCAGGAGGCCTGGAGAGATTCGATGTTATGGGCAACCGATTCAGAGTGCCACGATGGAACGTTCTGGAGCGGGGGACAGAAGCCACGCTGAGGTGGCTTCGGGGACGTGTGCCGGTGGCGGAGATGGCGTCTTGGAAGGGAGATGACGATGAGCCCGAGGCTGATTAAAACGGCGGGCGTTGAGTCGAGTTGGATTGAACTGAGCATGAACCTCCTGAGAGAAAAAGCGCGGCGTATTTCTTTTGAAGCATTACGGGTTGGTTATTCTCTTCGTTATACATATTCACCGATAGTTGCTTTTATTACCAAGGGGGGTTGTTGATATACCACGTTTACTTCTGAAAATAGTAAAACATTATCAAACTATACGAGCTGAGATGTCTTGGCTGAGAATGTGGCTACAGTCTCGTGAGTGGTACGTCCAGGTCAAATTGGCGTTTACGGCCCTGACTCGGGGTGTCGTATCTGCAGACCGAAAGCATGAAGAAGGGCGTTTCAAAGCCCCCGTGCAAGGGGCAGAAGGCGCATATTAAGTTTACCTGTCGTTTGGGAAGGTGGCAGTGTGAGAGGCTCCTGCTCAGGAAGACATTCTGGCATGAGGCTTCAAATATGTGGTCAGACGCCGCCATGTTGCGTTTGACGCGACGTTGGCTCCCTCTCCAGTTCTAACGCGCATCAGATTCAGCAGACATTTCGCACACGATTAACGCGTCTTTATGCCTATTCAATACGAATCACGCATAATCACACAATACGATTTCTCAAGACAGTGTCTACGACAGAAGAACAACTTGACGAGTCGGAAAATCTGGGGCTTCGAGGTGCCCTGAGGTCATAGCCACCCACCATCTTCATAACGACCAACACCAAACTCCAGATCATATCCTCCATTTCGCCCAAATGCTGCTATTCAACCCTCTACACTCCCGAATGGTCCCGGGAGGATCCTCGGTCGACCTCCCCGAAGACAGCAAGAAATTCAACAGCCACTCCCCAGATCCACAAACAATCACCAAGATCGTCATCACAGCATGGGTAGTCGGCTGGTTCGTCTTTGGCATCATCAGCATCCTCGTCATCAACGGCAACGGCAGAGCGGGAAGATGGGTACCCGAGTGGTATCTCGACTCTCGGGGCAAGATGAAGCACAAGCTCGCCGTACTGGGCTGGTGGGTGTTTGTGGTGCTGTTCTGGCCGCTCATCTGGATCGGGTACACCGTGAAGAAGATTGTGGGGGTTTTTGCATCTTGTGTAGGGAAGTGCAAGAGGAGGGGTGATGGGTTGAAAAAGCTGAATTCAAATGCATCAGCGGATGAAAAGGTATGAGGTTTTTGGATGGGTTCTACGGAGGATCGTCAGATTCATGATTTGGTGTTTTGGCGTTCTACAGGGCAAGGGATATGATACAGCCGTATAGTCTAGGATGTTTGAAACATCCTTTTACAGAATAGACAATTGCTGTATTTGTTGATTGTTTTGACTTAGTTTGACGTTTCATTGGGTCATGTCTCTTGTACGAAACGTTCCTGATGATCTCCTCTTGGCTTGTCTCACCGAGCATCCACCGATGGATGCAAACGGATCCCTGTCTGTTCACCTCTATCCTGATCCGGCTTAGATCGCTCACACCAGCCTTCCGATTCATCATTGGCCAAATTTCGTCTCGCTCCACCAATCAGACAAGGCCCCTCAACCAGCCGCGCACATTCGACGGAACAACTCATGTTCCTTGCCCTCCCCAGCTCTAGGCCTGGACCTGCTCGACCTGCTTCATCCACCAAAAACGACGGCGTCACGAGCCGGAGCTTTTGTTACTTTTGCTTCACACGAACTGTCAGACCGCTCTTCGCTCTCGTCCCTCTGAATGCTTCTATTCGCTATATCTTTCTCACCCTCGCTTGGTGTTGTTTGTTTAGACTCGCGTTGTGTGAGATCCTGACCAATTCGACCTGGCCACGACGGTTGTTGGGACCCATTCGCACGCGACTTTCGGTGGAGGATTGAGCCACGACGGACGCGTGAAACAGGAAAAATATCAACAAGTTTTAAAATACCGCCTTTTTGAGATCCTAGCTGTCCAAGCTTTTTACCTGAACCGACCCGGGCGACTCGAGCTCGCCATTGTTGACGCGCGACTCACATTCAGGAGGCATCCATCCGTTCACCACCACCTCCTTTGTCAACATGGCTTCCAACGTCGAGCTGCTTGGCCAGCAGAAGCCCGACGTCATCGTTGTTGACGATGATGTCGACGCACCCACTCAACCAGCTACTCCCCAAGAGACAGGTCCTCAAGATCCTCCCCAGGTGACATTACCTTCCACCGAGATTCCACAATCACCCATCGATCCGAATGAGTCCTTCAAGACCGAGGTCAACGACGACCGACCTGCCGTTACTGTCATCCCATCATCCCTCACTCCGCCACCCTCGACACAGGTCAACAACCACAACGCCAGCCAGACCGGGCCTTCTAAACGCACCTTTTCCAACTCTCAGCAGTCGAACCTCTTCTCTCCCCCCGCGACCATTCTCAACAACATCCCCGAGCGTCCCTTGACTTCCGAATATGTCCCACCCGCCTCCCAGCAGGTGCTCGAGGCTTCGGCTGACGAGCTCCGTACCATGCTCCAGACATGCATCACTGAGAACCAAAAGCTCAAGATGGAGACAGCTCACCACAAGTTGCAGTACAACTTGTTGAGCCTCCAGGCTGACGACGATTCGAAGAGAGCGGCTGTAGAGCACGAGATGATCCGTCGCGAGGTGGACGCGTTACGGACGGCGGAACACACCCGCCAGGCTCGGAGGGAGCTCAGTACTTCGTCAGAGTCAACACAAGCAAAGTATCTGCAGATGAAGATGTGGTACGAGACTGCCCTTGATGACAACACGACTCTTCAACGTCGTGTCAAGACAGCCAAAAAGGTCATACAGCAGAAGGAGGAGGAGAACATGGCGCTCGCCGAAGAACGAGACGTCTTACTCAACCGGATACGCGAGAACCGAGAACGCATGCAGATGCTCTGTAGCCCCGGCGGAATATTTCACGGAGCCCTGACCCCCAAGCAGCAATTGGCGGCAGCTTCGACACCACACCGTAACTCACATCGCCAAGCCCCCCGACCACAAGCACGCCAAAGGGAGGGAGAATATGGTATCTCTGCTCTCTTGCAGGCCATGAGCCAGGATAACAATAGCGCTCCTTCGACTCCAATGGCTTCACATAAACCGGCACCGCGGCATGTTGGAAGGCACAGCCGCAATGCGCAATCCATGTCTTCGCTGCCTACAACGCCTCTGAACCGGCCTCTAGGCGCACATGGTGGACTCTTGCCCTCGGTTGATTTGGTCCCTCAGTCGGAGCCTCAGCGATACACACAACGGCAATTCATCCCCACAACCCCAGTTGCCAAGACGGAGAGCAGGCGCAAGAGTCGCGAAAGCACGATTTCGATTGACGACACTGAGGAATTGGCTAGGCAGGCTCTAGAATCAGTTGCTGCAGCTAAATCTTTCGCATCGCAGGCGTCACAAGGCTCCCAATCGCGGAGTCACGAGGAAGAAGACAAGGAGGTGTTTGACAGCCAGGCTAGTCAGGCGGCCACGGAGCTGCTGCGGCGGGATCCGCGTCAGAGTTTTGAGGTGGCCAGCTCGGCGGGATCTAGAGATGGAACGCCAGGTCCTGTCGAAAAGTCAGCACGGATGCAAGCCAAGCTGCTCTCGAACTATAAGGGAGACCCCGAGAAGCGCAAGTTCAGTGGTAACTATTCGACTGAAGAAGCCCGACGGGATCAGGGAAGTCCAGCTAAGAAGTCACGCGTGACGGGGTCATTCGTCGACGAGCGCAGAAGATTGGGTCTTGGGATCCAGTACAACCAGTAAATCATTGCATCTTGAAGGGTTGGAGGAATGTAACAGGGAAATAGGTAGCGTGGATGGCGGAGTTCGGGGGATTTTGAGGGACAATATCTGATGATCATGGAACACGGCACAATGGCGTTTACAGGCAAGGTTGGCAGGATTGACCTTGAGCTTAAGGACGTGGAATGGTATAAGCCAAGTTTGTCCTAGTCGGCTTTTGGGGGCTCCATAGAGGAAAAAGACTTTCTCACGACTTGTGTTGTTCCGTCAGTGACATTTCCCCCGACCCTCGGCATCATGACTCCTTAGCTTCATGTAGCACCGCCACATTTGATCCTCTTTTGTGCAGCTACCAGCCACAGCCAAGTGTCCGTTCCGCAGTTCAGGGGTGGTATCCGACGATCAAGCCACACAAAAGTGTCAACAGCCGATGTCTGGAGCCGGCGGGGGATCCACTTTCGGGTCGGGGGCCGGGGTATGTCGGCTTTCGGCGGGGGGAGGGGGGACATTTAAAGGTTGGATGATTGCTTACCCGGCTTGAACATTTGCCCATCATGACCAGGCGACGTCTTTCCTTTCTCTTTTCTTTCCATTGACTCAATTGACATTGATCTTAGACATTGGTGTTGATGCATCTGAAAGATTCAGGACTGGACGATTGAGCTTCTGCATCTCCTCTCTCTCATTACCTCACTCACCGCATAAACATAATGCCTCAGCTTCCCAAGGGCCTCTCGGCCGTCCTTACAAAGGCTCCCTCCGATACCGTCATCCTCTCCGCGGTCCGTACTCCCGTCTGCCGGTCTTACCGTGGTCACCTCAAGGATGCGTATCCTGAGGAGCTCCTCGCCACTGTTCTAAAGGGAACACTTGAAGCCAACCCTTCGCTGGATCCTGCCGCCGTCGACGATGTTGCTGTCGGAGTTGTGCTTTCCGAGCTCGGAGGTTCCAAGGCGGCTCGCATGGCCCTCAACCACGTCGGCTTCAAGAACACAACCAGTCTGTACACTGTCAACCGCGCTTGCTCAAGTTCGCTACAGGCCATCACGGCTGTGGCGGGTCAGATCCGGACAGGCATGATCGACACCGGTATTGCCGCGGGAATGGAGAGCATGACGAGAAACTACGGATCCAAGGCCATCCCCGTCGACGTGTGGCCCGAGCTAAAGAACTCACCCAACCACCACGCCCAGGACTGCATCATGCCTATGGGTTTGACCTCTGAAAACGTCGCTGAGAGGTACAACGTCTCCCGAGCGGATCAAGATGCTCTCGCTGTAGAGTCTCATCGACGAGCTGCTCGTGCAAGAAGCCAGGGCCACTTTGACGGCGAGATTGTGCCGGTTACGACGAGGTTCCAGGAGGTGGATAAGAAGGGTAACAAGATTGGCGAGGAGCAGCAGATCACCGTCACCGCTGATGATGGTATCCGGGAGAATGTCACTATCGAGGCGTTGACCAAGTTGAAGCCTGCCTTCAAGCCTGATGGTGCTTCAACAGCCGGAAACTCGAGTCAGGTATCTGACGGTGCAGCCGCTACCCTCCTCATGCGAAGAAGCACGGCTACAGCCCTCGGTCTTCAAGATCAAATTATCGGCAAGTTTGTATCTGCCGTGACAGTCGGTTGCGACCCAGATGAGATGGGCATCGGCCCCGCCCTCGCAATCCCCAAGCTTCTAAACCAACACAACCTCACAAACGACGACGTTTCCCGATGGGAGATCAACGAGGCCTTTGCAAGCCAAGCTCTCCACTGTGTGCGTTCCCTCGGCCTTGAGGATGCGTGGGCGAAGGAGAAGGTGAACCCTGATGGAGGAGCTATCGCTCTTGGACATCCTCTTGGTGCTACTGGGGCCAGGATGACGGCTACGTTGTTGCATGGGCTTAAGAGGGATGGTGGGGAGCTTGGTGTTGTTAGTATGTGTGTTGGAACTGGTATGGGTATGGCCGGGTTGTTTGTGAGGGAGTGATTCTAAATGGGTAGAGATTAGGATAGAGGGTAGAGACAAAAATACATTTCTGGCATTTAATTATTTGGTTGCAACTTTATAAGTGATGCTTGTGATTTCTTAACAGTGCGTTGATGGCTCTCCCCAACGGTAGGTGACGGAGATGAAGATGCCCCAATCAAGCATTGCTCGCTTATATCTAGTTCGGGTATGCCGATACTTGGTGTCTTGGAGCTTCCATGTGTTCGATGACATTGTGGGCCAATAGTAAATGCACCATGCTTGAATAAATGCCCCCATCTCACTGTGTCTGAAAGCGGAACCCAAGACTGCACGGGATCATGCCAGCGTAGTATGTTGTAATGATACATTATTATGTCCCACAATAAGATTAAATACATACTAGAATACTCACGTCTTCATACATCTTCATTTACAACCTTGCCAGGAGCTTTAAAGCCCCTGACCAACCCCGTCTCTTGGTCTCTCTCAACACCTCCCCCAATGACAACGCCGTGCCTGCGGCGTCCAAGAGCCAAAAGACTCTTTCCAACATTATTATAGTCTCCAAAGAAGGAGTGCGCTCGCACATCACTGCCAATGGTCAAGCCATGGCCAAGAGTCACACCCCACATGTCACCAACACGAATAGCGTGGGCGCTCGAGTTTCGGTCCCGCTCCAGCAGGACAGAGTAGACACATCCAGTGTAGAGCACCACGCCTTCAGCTGCGTTGGCTGGGAAGCTCCAGCGCTTCCTGTCGTTTGACACCGGATGCCATGGTGTCACGAGGACCTTGCCCATTCGGCATAGTAACTCCTGCTCAACAGGTGTCTTGAGAACCATGGCGACTCGTCTTGAGCCCCGGGGTGTTTGCACCTTCATACCCCGACGGAGTTTCCTGATTTGTACAATCCTTCCTGAGGCGAGTGTCACGTCTGTCGAGGCTGCAAAGCATACGCCGCTCACATTGCGGTACTTGCTCATGCTGATAGATGAGGCCAAGAAGCTCGATCGCGTGCCACTGGAGCGTGAACCACCGGCACGGCCGTGGTGTTGCCGCATTGGCACTGCTCGTGATGGTTCTGGGGCAGGCAGATTGTCAAATGCCTGGTCAAGCAGATCCCGGCAGGATATAAACAAGGGGCTCTCTGTGCCATATTGCAGAGGCCCAGGATCCTTGAAAGAATTGCATATTTGACGGGTGTGTCCGTTAAGAAGGGACGGGAGGAAGTGGCAGCCCCATTTGTTAAAGTAGGCCATACTCTCAAGAGCCAAAAATACCTGACCCTTGGGGTCTTCAGACGAAATTTCCTTTTTGAGTGATTCATTCTTTGGGTCATCAAATGGCCTGGCAGGAAGATTCTCAATGAGGGCGATTAGCTCGTCCTTTTTAGATTCCGCGAGCTTCTTGGCGGCCTCGTGTTCTCCGTCGGGTTGGATTGGGAAGATTGATGAGATGAAGCTGCAGATGATGGCTCTGGATTCATGGTAAGCAATCTCGGATGCGGGGAGGTCGCTGGTGTCGAGGACACTGCGGCGGACTGATGTCACGGGTGTGAAGGGGGTTTTCTTGGAAGCGGCATTGGGGGTTGTCGGTTCACCGCCAGGCTTGAGGTAAGCGATGGAGGCATTGACAAGTGAACTCGAAGCATCCTTCTCCTTGAGAGATTCGAGCTTGGATAGGTTGTTGACGCGGAGGAAGATATCTCGAGACTGGCCATATTGAATATTGCCGAGGTTCAAGGTGAGCTCCATCTCACCATCATCAGACCCGTTCACAGGCTGAGGAGGCTGCTGTTCCACGGATGTGCCGGTCGTCTCCTCCAACTCCAATTCTTTAGAGTATGTGAGTTTCAGGACGGCCCGAGTGGCAAATGTGCTCTGCAGGTTTGCAACGGCGTGGACAAACACGGTACCAATCATGCCGGCATCCGGGATGAAGGCATAATTACCTCCGCCAATCTCGGCGATGGACTTGAGAAGTCCTGATCTGAGGTGGTAGCCAAAGCCAAAGGTATGAATGGATGCTGGGAGCTGGCCCATGGCGCGGAGCTTGGGGACGAAGCCAGCGGCAGGGTTCCTGAGAAATGTTAGTGCGAGATTGGAAGACTTGTCTGGGGAACTTACATGTGGTTTGGCATGCCGTCGGTAAGAACCATGATAGCTGGAACATTGGAGGATTTGACATTCTTAAACAGCTTGATACCTTCGAGAAGACCGTGCCAAAGGTTAGTGGCGTCAATAGGTCTCATGCTCGTGACATTCCCCCGGGAACGCTCCTTGTTCTCGCTGGTCATGGAAAGAAGCGGCTGCACAACCTTGGCTTTGCTCGCAAACGTGACTATTCCCAGACGATCACTCTCGTTCATTGTCTCTATGATGGTGCGGGCGGCATGTTTGGTGAGATCCAGGATGGAGAGGCCGGTGCTTTCGTTCGTCTCTTCTCCAGGCACGGGAGCAGCTCCAGCCATGCTACCCGATACATCAATGACGAGGACAATATCGCAAGGTACATGTGGGATTTCCGCAGAGGGAGCAGTCGGGGGTTGGACTTTGACGATTAGGCCTTTTCTGTCGGGGACAGGCTCCAGGTGAAGGGTCGCATCGTCGGATGCGATAACAACAGGCGGCTGAATGGCAGAGGGACCCCCAACAATCTCTTCAGACTTTTTCTCGCGGATGGGCAGTTTCTCATTGACTTGATCATTGTCGTCGGTGTCGGTCTTCTTCTTGCTGACTCCACCTGTAAGGGTGCTCCAGAAGGGTATTTTCTGCGGCTCGTTAGATCTGAGAATAGCTGGAGTTGTCGACACACTTACCACCATGATGGGCTAAAACAGACGTCTCAAAGGATTGATTTGTCCAAGGCGCAAAAGGAGGGATTGCTACCTTTTCTCAATACTTCATCAAGTCCGAGAGACCCGTCTGTTATGATGGAACGAGCTGACAAGACAACGCGGAGACAGCTGACCTTTAAGCTGCACTGGCTGCCAACCTGTCAGAGCCTCGCAAAGGATGCTCGGACTAGGAAGTCTATTCGATGAGTCGATGCAAGCCTAACCCACCTTTCCGCTTTGCTTGCCGGGGGCTGTGCGCCTCGTTGCCCGCGGGCGCACATCAGCAGTGACGCCTCCTCCAAAGCCAAGCCAAGCCGGCTCAGCTGCCCCTATCACCTAGTGGAACTCGTAGGCTAATCTTTTGCCAGTTCCAGTTGCGGGGTTTCGTTTGTGTTGTTGGTGCTGGTTTGTTGTTATCCTGTCATCCAACGGAATGGCTCCAGCCTAGCTACTTGTCACCTGCGAGTCAGACTTTGAAGACCAGGCCAGGCCGTCTACCAAGACCCGTCATGGTAAGATTTGAGCTGCGGGGAAACGTGTCTGCCTTGAAGGCAACAGGATAAATGCCCATATCGCCTCCTTTGTCAAAAAGATCCCAAAAGGTCCGATTCGATGGATCGTATAACCTAAAAGCCAAGACATGAGGAACTAATGATTGGCGTTAATCTCGGTGGTGTTGAAGGCGATAGAGCCAAGAAAAGTGGTACGTACCCCAAGGCAGAACGGATGGCGGACTGCAAGGCGGTGCAGGCTGCCCACTTACGAGGCAAGCCCGCCACACCAGTGTCACGTGCACACCCTGGGACATTGGAATCAATGGATGGATGCAACTTCACAGCCGGAGAAATGGGGTCGGAACTGATTGAGCCTCAAGACATGCCCTTCGCTCAGCCCTACTTCGGGGAGTGTACGTGCATGTACACGTGGGGTTCTAACTTGAGAATGATTTGGTGCCTCGTCGTTTCACTTGCACATTGGGTGGTTGATGAAACCGCCTATCAATCTGCCTTGACTGTGGTTGGGTGAGGTTGTACTCCGTAAGTCGACAACATGACAATGGATATCCACATCCAGTTGGTGCTTTCAAGCAGGAATGAAAACAGTCACAAAAGCGGTGTCATCGAGATTGTGCCTGTATAGTTCCTCGCCGAACCATGATGTGATGGAACATGAGGATGAAAGAACTTTTGTAAATGACTGGGAATCTTACTAACAACTACCTTGCCTGGTCGTGGTGTATGACCTATTAAGGGAGTTGGACGAGGCTGTGCTGAGCAGTCACTGGACTGCTGTGCGGTGTCGTACAGAGGCTCAATTAATTGGACGTCAACAAGAGCCATGGGTGAATGCATGACCGCAAGTAATAGAGTCTAAGACCTGCGCAATTAACGACAGGAAAACGAGAAACTGTGTTTGGCGCAAAGTTGTCAAGTTGTGAGAAGAAAGCCACATGTCTTGGGTGAGTGGGTATAGGGTAGCAGTCTGACACTCGGTTAGAAGAAGTTGGGGGCATTGCTCAATGTGAATAAATTTGGTACATTAATACCTGTTACTGCCTTGTATGAGTGATTTCTAGAACTACATGGGAGTATAATGCATAAAAAGAGGATAGACTTTGAAGTGTGGTATCGCGGCATGGATTCACGACGCCTTAGTATGTCGCTGATGGCGTTGCAATAGCATCCATGATCAACAGAGATATTGATGACAGTTTCTCACACCTTGATTCTAAGCTTTACATTGAGAACTAGATAGCGAAGTTCCGATGCCCTGTAACACTTCTTGTCAATGAATATAGGTCGATGGAGTAGTGAAGAGTACTCAATCTCGATACTCAATTCACTTGCCGGCAGTCAGACATGAAATCACCATCAGGGTGTGCAATCATCTAAATATATCAGAAGCTCTACCCAGTAGCCTAACAAGCCATCATTTACCCAATCAAGACTACAACAATGGCTCGTTTGACAAGCTCCCCGACCGAGGGCCACAGAGTAAAGAATCGCGGTGTGTGCTTTCAAGCTGGCAACGCTGACTTTAGAGCTGCCAGAAATCGATGTTCACACTCTGTTGGCCAGTTCAATGATATACCAATTGATGCGCCAGCACTCGTGAGAGTCGCTGCGTGGAAGAGGTGAGACCATGACTACATTGGCTGATTGGGAGACGTCTCTTGACCAGTGTAGAATCACCAACCCGGAAACCACTTGTGATAATAGGAAAGAAGAATATATACTCATAGCAGAAGTTGCATTTCGGGACCCATCCGCTGCCCCTTCAGCCCCTCTCACCGAAGCTCCGACTTACGTTGACTATGGGCCCCGAGTTTACGTTGCGCCCACGACATTCATCAATCGCAACTGTGTCATCTTGGACACGCCAGTAGCAGATGTCAGGATCGGGGACCTTGCTAAAATAGGGCCAAATGTGACCATCATCTTGGTCGGTCACTCCCAAGGTGTTGACGAGCATGGTAAGCGGTTGAGCAACGGCAGCGATGTGATAATCGGAGACTGCACGTGGATTGGAGCTGGAGTCACCATCCTGTGAGCCCTCAACATGACATACTCAAGAGCTAGTTGAAAACTAATTTGTTATTTCAGGCCTGGGGTCGAGATCGGTAGTCACGGTATCATTGGCGCTGAGAGCGTGGTAACCAAGGACGTGCCGGCATTCCATTTAGCATGCGGAAACCCAGCTCGGGTGATGCGGAAGATGGGGTACGAGGTTGCAAAGGAGCCGGAGGATATCATTACTAGCTTGAAAGAGGCACTGGGGAGAGTGGATGGCACGTCCCACAGATAGTATAATTGCTGGAGGCAGTTGCGAAAAGAATGTCGCGGGTTTAGGTGAGTGGACATAGGGTAGTAGTCTAGCACTCGACTATAATTGAAGAGGTAATGCTCAACGCGACAAGTGCGAGTGATACTTACCAGTTTCTATGAACTATTTATAGGATCGCACGAAAAACAAGGAGTTGTGTGATGAAGTGCTGTGTCGCGATAGATTCACGGTAGCTATCCGGGTTCCTGGTCCAAGAAACGCAACGATGATGACCCACGAGCTGACCCGTAACCGGCAATCTCTCACAAGCGAGTTTTTGAGCATCTCTTATTCTCACACCTGCCAATCTAGCATTAGTGAGACAAATCCTTACCCCCAAGCACTTACTGTCAATGAATCCTAGTCGATGAAGCAATGAACAACAGCCTACCGTCAATCAGACGTGAGATCCCCCACTAGGCTCATACTCGTCTGTATATATTAGAAGCTTTGTCCATAGCTTAGCATCTGACCAAACCTCATTGAAGACAACAAGATCGCAATCATGCCTACAACAGCGAACCCTGGATACATCCCTTTTGCTGTCGGCAGCTCAGCGGGCTCTGAAGGTGCGTTTGACCAAGCGAATAACGCACAGGTGAAAGAAGCCAGAAACAGATGTCCGGCTGCTTTCCATGACCTCCTCATCCCGAACGACCCAGACGCAGCGATGGTGGCCGTCTATAAGCGGTGGGTACAAGAATGTTGAGTTGGAGGCGTTGGCTGATCAGCTTAGCTACCCCTACGCCTTGGAGGCCACTGACGGGCCGCTCATCGACGGACCGGTTCACGTTAACTTCGGGTGCCGAATCACCCTTTCGAAGTTTGCAACCATGCTCGGCAACTGCACAATTATCTACACACCACTTTCAGATGTCGAGTTCAGTGTATGTTCGTGGATAAATCCAGGCTTGACCATTATCGCGGCAGAGCGGTCCCAGAGTGTCAAGGATAAGAATGGCAAGCCATCGACTGTTGGCCGCAAGGTGACAATCGGTGCCTGCTCTTGGATTGGGAATGACGTCGTCATACTGTGAGTTTTCCTCCAAATTCGTCAACTCCTAGCTGATTAGGCATTTAGGCCTGGGGTTGAGATCGGCCATCACTGCAAGGTTGCTCACGGGAGCGTGGTGACCGAGAGCGTGCCACCGTTTCACTGTGTGAAAGGAAATCCAGCTGTGGTGGTAAAGGAGTTTGACAACAGAATGCCACGCGGGGCAGAAGACGTTTACTTCTGCGATTAACTTGCCGGTCTCACGGAGAGTGAAATTGCTGGAGGCGGAGCCGTCTTGGCAGGAGGCGAAGATGCTTGAACGGTAGGTAGTGAGAAAGCTAAAGACATTAATTGAGGCGGAGGAGGCTCGTATAAGGTGGAATCACCTAGGTAGTTATTAGACTAATATTATCCTCCATAAAAAAATGAAGCTGTCATGACAATTCTCGAACCGGTGATTTGACGGAAAGGTCGGCGTTGGAGTTGACGGGCATGGAAGCTTGGCGGCCCGCAAAGCCCCTAACGTTACAGCGCGTTCCGCCCACTAAAACAATCCCTGCGTCGGCGGCTTCCGACGGTCATTAGTGGATCCCCCGCCTCAAGCGCGAGCAAATCGCGGAGAGCTCCATGTCCTAAACGGTGCAAGAGCCAAGGAACAAGGAAAGAAGGAAGGTGGTGCCTGCCTGTGAGAGAAAAAAAAAAAATTGTGATTGAAGATCCCCAGTTGCAATTTTTTGGCCTCGGCCCTTTTTCCACTTCTTTTCTTTCTTTTCTTGGGCCTCAAATTTCTCCCCGAGTCCTCGTCCCCTTCGGCAAACTCTCTCCTGCTCGTCTCCTCGTTTCTTTACCTCTGCGACGCTGTGATACCCTGGAAAAGACCGCCAAAATGGTTGAGAAGCTCTACGTCACGTACAACGATGTAAGAAAATTACCCCGCCACCCCGCCTTGATGATGAGGGCGGTGATGCGCCTCGAACGCGCCCGACCAGCGACGTGGTTTGGATGAGGATTCTGCGAGAGCTATGAGCTGCAGTCGAGTGAGACATTCCTGGCTGTCGAGTTCTTGGCTTGATTCATCCTCTAGAGACATGGTTAGGGAAGCTCTGCTAACATGGCTCGTGATTCTAGGTGCACAAGATGTGCCAGCAGTCGGCCGACAAGATCCTCGCGGATTTTGAGCCACAGCTCATGATCGCCATCGGCGGTGGTGGCTACGTCCCTGCTCGAATCCTCCGATCCTTCCTCAAGAAGCCCGGTTCTCCCAACATCCCCATCCAGGCCATCGGCCTGTCTCTCTACGAGTCGCTCGGTAACGACGAGGTTGAGGCTCCTGGTACTAAGGTTACCCGGACTCAGTGGCTCGACCTTACTGCCCTGGGCGAGATGGAGAACCTTGTCGGCAAGCGAATCCTCATCGTTGACGAGGTTGACGACACCCGAACGACTCTCGAGTACGCTGTCAAGGAGCTTGAGAAGGATGTCGAGATTGCCCGTCAGCGCATGGGTGCCGGTGCTCCTGCTCCCAAGACCCAGTTCAGCATCTTTGTGCTCCACGTATGTACCAACCTGAACGACTCACGATCTATGCTAACAAGACGTAGAACAAGGACAAGACCAAGAAGGGCAAGCTCCCCAACGACATGCTTGAGAAGCGTTACTCGGCTGCCTCGACCGTCGGCGACGTCTGGATCAACTACCCCTGGGAGGCGACGGACATTGACGAGCACGACAGGCTCGCTGGCCAGCAGCCCAAGTCTAACTAAGCGGCTTTTTATGTGGGATTTCGGAGTTGGGAATATGGGCACGTCACTTCACGCGCATTGATTGAGCATGACGAAAGCATTGTGGAGTAACAATCCAAAAGAACTAGATCATCGTCTTTTTGTTCCTTGACCCCTTTGACTCCTATCTGTTCGAGCACAGACTTGGACGCCAACGCCAACTAATCCGTGGCATTAGCTCACCAACGTCTACTCACCTTTTAGGTTCTCGACGACTGTCGTTAAGCAGCACGCTCCGCTTCGACCTGCTCGTTCATGAATTGCTCGACCCAGACAAGCTTTCAGCGTCGCTACCCTGTCGCTTCCTCCACGCCGATTCAAGCTTGTCAACAAAGCGACGCGGGCTTTCAAGCTCGGATAACCTATCTTGTTTATAGAGGATTACCCGACCCGTGTGTCTGTAGCCATCTACAAAGCTTTTCCACGCCCGCCCGATGCCCATGGCCTCGTTAGGATCTCCGTCAGGCATGAAGTTGGGGGCGAAATCAGGTCGTGGCCAAGTCGGATTATCCATGATGGCGCACAAACACTTTCTTGATTTCCATCCCTCGGGCTTCATGGGCTTGCAGTCACCAAAATCGGTCGCCCACAAGCACGGTCTGGAATTCTTGGAACAACCGAGGATAAAGTTGACACCCTCGCCGTCAAGACCACAACTCCAATGAAGGGTGGCCAACATCATGCCCATGCCCACCGCCCAGCGCAGGACGGCCCGTTTTCCTGCTTCGAGCCGTAGCTGGTTGAAGTAAACAGGGCGGAACAGGAGCTGTGGATTCAGGTGGTCGTTGGGCGGAGACATTTCACCCATCCGGACCCGGAGTCTCACCTCTGATATCCAGGGGTCGTTCATGACTCTCCCCCTGATCGTGAGGTCTAGAAAAGCCTTAGCCAGGGGTATGCAATGTTGGGGATTCAGAGCCGGAATAGTCCGTGTCATGAACCCTACCGGGACGTTGGCGAGGCCAGCACGGCCCCGGGCAAAGATCCTTGCGGCAGGCCTCGCGACACCGACACGGGGGCACCTGGTCCATCCTTTTGCTTTAAATTGAATCCAGAGTGCTTGGACAGCCGTGTACACTTTTACATGATTCTGAATCTCGGCTTTCAGGAACCGCGAGTTTTTGTATAAACTGACGGTGTAGGCCTTGTACTTGATCTTTGTCTGGCTGAGATGGATGGCCGTCCTGTACGTGACCCAAAAGCAGGAGAGTATATGCTCTGTTTCTTCTGATTCCGACTCGAGAGCGGCGCGCCTCGTTTTTTTGGTGAAGTGGCTGCACTCCGCTTCCCCGGGGATACAGATATCGGAGCGGCGGACAGGTTCGGCTGGTTTTGTGCTGATGTAGCATGTGTCGTCGCGTTTTCCAAGGGCGTATTTCTGGAGTTCTGTTGCCTTTTGCTGTCGTCTCCAGGGAAAGATTGTCATGGTGACTCGAGAGTTGAATCTGGATGTAGGGGCGAAGAGTGTTGAGACAGGGCCTCTTTGGTACAGTGTTTTGGTGAACCGTACGCAAAGGAACTCTGGGGTTGTTTGAGGGGAAAGGGCAAGATGGTGATGAGAAGAAGGGCACATGGTGCCCATAGAGTTTCACTGCGTGGTGACGTTGAGAGACAGCAGATGACAATATCCAAGACTTCCATAATTCTATTTCGTCTAATCGTCAACTCTATTGAATGTAACCACTCGGTACTTTAAAGGCCATGACAGGGTATATACTCTTTCGTTGATACGCACATCTTTTTGCTCTAACCACCCACCGTACCCTCTCTAGCATGTCTCTCCTTGAGTCTCTTCTCCTGCTTCATAAACTCCCTAATACCAACCGGCACACTTTCGTACAAGCCCTCGTCCCAAAAGTCCTTTGCGATCTTGGTGTCGCCGACTGCCGGCGCCGGTGCTGTCCAGTTGCTCTCTGACCCGCCACCGTCCGAGTCCATCGACCCCTCAACCTTTTGCAGAGCCACCTGCGCCTCGTTGTTCTTGAGTGACCACTCCTCCATTTCGTCGCGGAATCGGTCCCATACGCAGTTGACGCAGCCGCTCATGCAGCAGTTGTCGGGCTCCTCTGGCTTGGGGGGCACGAGGACGCCGGCTATCAATGTCGATTGCGCCTTTCGCGCGGCGAGGCGGTCGGCTTGCTCGATGGGTCCAAGTAGCCGAGAGCCAAATATGATCTTGACGCGTTCCTCTGGCGTCTGCGGCTGAGCTGCTGCTGCTGCTGTTGAGTCGGCTGGCTGCTTCTTCTCGGGCGGGAGGACCTCGGGGTCTGCGGAGTTTGGAGGATCTTCTGGCTTCTCCTGGGGTATCAAAGAGGGGTTGTTGAGTATTTGCTCGTAGTATGGGCCTAGCGGGGATCTTTGCGGCCACTCCTCTGCGGTCTGTCTCGGTACTGTACTTGCGAACTTTCGTGATGTCGTCGTGGCTGAGAAGAGAGGGCGTAACCTCGGCGCTAACCGGCCGGGAATCGACATGGCTGAAGGAGGGGAATCGCTCAACGTTCTATGATTTCGGCGATACTTGAAGGTGAGTAGCTGAAGAAGCGTGAGGTACAAGATTGGAATTGTATGGCAAAAAAAAGTTCGGTTTGGTTTGTAATTGCGGCTTAACGGGGACCGGGAAACATGGTGTTGAAGTCTCGGAAGTCCGTCATTTTTGCCTCGGACGTCATCGGCCGGGGTGTGCGCATCAAGGAGCAAGGGGTGGGCGGATGCAAGATTTGGGCGCTCCCGCTTCTCCGCGATTGGAGAAATGGTTATGTCAGCTGTGCCTGACTATCACCACGTGATACACGTCACATGCTTTCGCGTTGGCTTGTGATGGACAGAATTTGGAATTGACAGCTTCACGAGACGCGGCTGGTGACTTCAATCACAAGAAACAAGGCGTTTTTACTCTCTTTGCCACAAATCGCAGGTGCTTTTGTCATTCAATCTTTGACATCTGGTTTCGGTTCAGTGAACACAGCCTACCCTTTTCGGTAGGCGGTGAAGCCCACTTGGACGCGACAGGGCCAAGTAAACAAGAGCCAATGCGACAAGACCGAATATCGACAGGACTGAAGGATACCAACACGGACATGAATATTGTTTAAGGCGCTTCACAACAAAATCATCAATTTTTCGTCATGGAAGAGTCTGCGCCAAAGCGGCGGCGTACATCGCCTCGCACTTCACTCGAGATTGGAGGAACTCCGCCATCACCTGAACCCGCGTCACCGCGACGGAGACGTCCATCTTATGCATCACCGACAAAAGCGAGTCTTGCGCGTCACAATCCAGAAGTATTGGAGAGGAGAAGATCCAGATCACCAGAGAAGGCGGCAAATCCGACATTGCCTTCTTTGGACTTTGGAGTTGAGCAGAGTCCTTCAGAGGTTCTTGCAGCGCGCTTGGCCGGGAGTCGCTTGGTGAGCGATGCGCCGACACCAACGCGTCTTAATGAGGCGACACCTGGTTCGGGGAGGTCGCTACGCCGTGTTGGAGGTAGTTTGGGTGCTCCCGCCCGACGAACTCCTTCGAAGCTGAATCCGCGTCCAGCACCCGCGCCGGGGCCTGAAGATGAAGACTTTAATCCTTTCCGTGGCAAGATGCTGCGACGGTCACCACCTGCTGGAACATCTATGCCGGCTGATGAGCCTCCGGCTTCTATGCCTGAGCCCGAATTGCCGTCGATTGACGCTTCTTCACCACCTCAGCCTCCAGCTTCAATGCCTGAGCCTGAATTTCCATCGACGGATATTCCTTTTTCTGAACCCGAGGCTGGGACTCCTCGCTCGCCTGAAGAACCTTTAGCGCCAGATGTACCAACAGTACCCGCAGAGTTATCACCACCCAGGTCCCCGGTTGAGAGTCCGCCTCCTGTTGAATCCCGCTCACCGTCCGAATCCCCGCCTGGCCCTTTGCCTGAGCCAGATTCCCCAAGCCAATTTCTCGACCAAACCTCTCCCTCACCAGAAGACGACTCCCCCAGTCGGGTCCTTGAGCAGGCATCTTCCTCGCCCCAGCCTATCCCAGCTTCAATGCCCCAACCTGAGTTGCCATTGATGGTTCAACCCGATTCTCAAGAGGCAGCTCCATCCGCGTCACAGCCTGTACCAAAACTTCCGCCATCAGCACGCGATGCTGCCCTACGAAAAAGCTTTCGCAACAGCCCAATTCGATTCCGGGAGTTGTCTCAGCCAAGGGATTCGCCTCTGGCAAAGCCGCCATCACGACTTCTGGACAAGCCGAGAAAGAGCTTCCAGCGAGCTGGAGCATCTGCTAGAATCACAGAACACAGGCCCCCAGTTGAGGCGAATGCACCCGAAACCAGGAAACCCCGTCCTTTCGATCCAGACTCGGCCAAGAAGGCAGAGAGGGATGCTCTTTTGAACGAGATGGAAAAGCTCAAGAGGGATCTAGAGACTGCGCAAAAGGAAAATGAGCGGATTCGAGTGATGCAACAATCTGGTCGAGTGCTAGCCCCTTCGAACCAGGAGGCAGTTGTCGATCTTATTCAGCGCCAACATCTTTCGGAAGCTGACAAGGACCAGCCAGTGTCTCAACAACTCGTCCGGGCGGCATTAAACCCTACTGCTCTCCTACCTTTCGGCAAAGCTATTGCTCCTACACCTTCGGCACCTGTTGAGGATAAGCAGGCCGAGATCAAGTCACACCACCCTGTCTCACTCACAGCGGAAGAGGAGTTGGCTTATCTTGAGCTGTTCACTCCGTTTTCAATATCATCAAACATCGCTGTCATGCCCGTGGAAGCAGATCAACCCCTCAAGCAGCTTCATTCCATCACCTTTCGATCTCGGGAGATTCCTGGGGTTTTCACGGCGCGGATGGACATGGTTGTCAGCGCAACTAACCTGACCATCCTGGACCTCAACATGACAGCACTTGAGCCAGCCTCGAAGCCAGAATTGGGTCCTTTTGTTGAAAAGATCTGCACCGGCGACTGCAATCGATCCATGCAGCAGAACGTCGGTATCCTGTCTTGGGCCATGGGTGAATGGCTCCGTGTTGCCGTGGATAGGGCAGAGCTCTGGTGCCAACTGGAACACAGCCTTGGCTCCAAGGATGGTGTGTCGGAGGCTACGAGCCAGATGCGCGCACGCAAGTCAAGACGGAGAAAGGGCGATGAAGAGGATGAGGACTCTGGATTTACACCCGTAGAGTCGGTCGACAAGGCAGACCTTATCCGCTACATGGGCCAGCAATACTTTGACATCTCAATACCCCAAAACGACACTGACGACTCGGTCGTAGTGGTGCGGTTGGAATGGAAAACTGAGTTTGACTGGACGGGAGAGGCCGAAAGCAAGCTTGCGGTTTTGACAGGCGTTCCAGGGAAATGTGAGTGCATCAATTCATCACCTCTTGACCTTTCACTGACATGATATGATAGGGCACCAGATGGATGAGCGAGGGTCTCTTGGAAAGATCCCCAAGATTTTCAGTGAACTTGTTCATGGCGGAGAGAAACCGGAAACGGCGATACGGACAATTGTGGCTTTGGTTGCGGGCGAACAATCATGATAGAGGTTAGGGGCTAACATGGAATTCCACCATGAACGACTATAGACCAAGACGAGTTCTTATTGCGCGGGTCGCACACGAGAAGACGAGAAAGATACCAGAATATCGTAATTAATTTGTATTTTGGCCGTGGCGATGGCCTCGTGTGCCTACTGTATCGTACCCCCTTTTCCCTTCTATCCATTAAAGAAGTCCGGAGCGCAACGCCCGCAAAAAGCAGCTTAGTCGACAGTGACGCCCATCTTTCGCAATTCGGTCTTGGCCTGGTCAATCTCGGCCATGAGCTCCTTGTGCGCCTCCGGCACGTCGTTGAAGGTGAGGATGCCCCAGCCGAGGCGGAAGAGGAGGAATGCGCCAAAGGAGACGAGGGCCCAGAAGGGGAGCTATGATCCGCGTTAGATCGGGAGGTTTGCGGTTTTTTGGGGAGTGAGAAACGTACGACGGGGACGATCTGCTCCTGGATTAGAGGAGGGAGGGGGATGAGTTCGAGAAAGAGGGCGAGGTAGAGCTGTTTTGCGCCGATGGGTTAGTAAACATGTTTTTTTTTTTTTTGTATCGAGGGGTATTGAGAATGCGTACGGAGGAGACGAGGAGGGCGAGGGAGATGGTCTGCTGAGCGCGGGTCATTGTTGCGGTATTTGCTGTAGAAGCTTGAACGAGAGTTGAGAAGCGAAAAAGAAGGAGCGGGTGGTGATAAATGCGATGATGTCGATAGTCCAAATCTTGAGGAGACGTGTAAGTTGTCAGGGGTTTGGCGCGTTGGGTGGGAAATTTCGGATGACTAAGGTGGGGTGGTTAGGTAATCAGCCTCGGAGCCTTGGCGAGTCTCGGCTTGTTGACTCTCCTTGGTGATAGACTTGTAAGTGAGTTGTTTTCAATGGAAAGAATTAATAAAAAAGTGTTATGCGACATGATAACTATAAATGAGTCTTCATAGATATTATAATGCTATATTCCTATTTTTAGCATAGTAACTACTTGTTTCTCACAAGTGGTACCAGTTGGCGAAGAGGGACCACCGCCAGGGCCCTCAGCAGAGCCCCCCCTGTTAGAGTCAGGCTTAGAATGGCCCTCGATGTGGTTTCTGATTTCTCACGGGTTGAATGTATAATTTTACTTGGAGACATGTTCTTTTGACGTCATGGGAATCTGGTATCTGTTAACTCGAGACGATCTAGGCTGGCTGTCAGTCACTGAGGATATCCATATCAAGACGGCAGGCGAATGGGCACGTGGAATGCCTGTCATGAGTATGAGAGTCAACTAGTAGTTTGAAATGATCAAAATTGCGCTGGAAGCGCTGGAAGAAGATCGCGTCTCGGCAGATACCGGTCCAGGTGACGGAATGAGCTGGGGCAGCAGCACTAGGGATAATAGAATTACTAGGACGGCCACTTCGCTAGGGGAAGCCACTTTTGTTGATATGCTAATGCAAAAAGTCTTTGGTTGACTGACCAGATGCCGGCCTGGAGTTAGTGGAAAGGATGAAGGTTATCGCTGTTGTCATCGTGTACAACGAGTACAACAGTCTTTAGGAATCATCATCAGATATCAAAGGTGTAAACAGACGAAAAGAAACTTACTACCGTGAGTTAGCGGCTAACAACATCGTATGGAAAACAACTGTCGTGAAATCACCGCGTATCTAGTTGCAGAGACTCACTCCGCTAGTAGATAATCTAGCCTAGACTTAAAAGATGACTAACGGAGCACTGTACAAGATCCAAGAGATGGCCAAATCCGTCCTGAGCGGTTACCAAGAGTTATTTATGTCCTGGACCTCGATAGTTGACTCTTGCTACGGAGGCCCGAGGGCCCTATCACCCTGGAACACCAATGAGTCCGCGACCAACCTGCATGCTTCATCTGCAGTTCTCATTTGCCCTCATCAGCCACCTCACCGACAGCGCCCAGCACGAGAACCCCACTCATGTGCGGCAAGTGGTGAGGGTGAAAGATGAGACTGCCAATTGCGCAAATTGAATTGCGCAAATGCGCATCTCGACCTGTATACAATACAACCAGGCTGATGGTGCGCAAAGAGGCAAAAAGGCAAAGAGGCAACCACAAAATGTATCAGGCATAAAAGAGTGACCCGTCCTAGGAAAAATGGGAAAAACCCTCCATCTTCAGCTTTCAACCTCCTATAGCCTTTGCGTTTGCAACCGGTCTACACTCCTAGCTCTAGGCAACTTCAAATCACCTGAAGGTACGTAACCATCCAATTCCAAAAGGCACTTGCAAAGGGAGCTAAACTTGATTTTCTTTTTCTCGCAGCATTCACCAGATGGACGCCAACGATACAGCTGTGGCCAAAGTGCCCCCTTTGGTAGGTCACGGAAGTGAAAGTGCCGCAAGCGCGGAGTCCAAGAAACCCATGGCTTCCTCGGGTCCTCGTTCATCTTTGGCGCATTCCCTGGGGGAGAGCCAAACTCAAGAGGCCAATTACATTCCGGAAATGATCATCCCATGCACCTTTGTAGAACTGTCCAACTCTGCAGAACTGTTCACCTCTGCAGAACTGTTCAACTCTGGCGCCTACAGCAAAGTCTACCGAGTCGGTATTCATGAGGATTACTGGGATGACTGGTTCACCTCGGTATGTTAAGCACCCAACACTACCACAATGCCCACACTAATCATTGGAATACGCTGCCAGAGTGCTACACAACGCCCCGAATATTACGCCGTCAAGAAGTTGCACAGCAAAGATGAGGCGGCTTTTGTTCGCGAAGTCTCGGTGCTCCAGGAGCTCAACGAGTTTGCGCATCCTCACATCGTCCCGCTCCTCTCGTCCTTCAAGCTTGGCGACGAGCCCCATCTCATGTTCCCTTGGGCAGACTGCGATCTGAGCATGTTCTGGCGCCTGAATGCGAACCCAGAGCCTTCCGTCACTACAGTGCGATGGATGTTGAAGCAGCTCACGGGCCTTGCGGATGGCCTATCTCTTCTACATGGGTTCGAAAAAGGCAGAAAGGACCGACGATGGGATGGCCGGCATGGAGACATCAAACCGTCCAACATACTCGTCTTCCCACAGCCCTCGGACACAGCTAAGGACTCTATAGACAGGTATGCCCTGAAGCTCTGCGATTTCGGCCTGTCGTCCTTTCACAGGCGAGGAGTGGCGGATGCAACCCCCAGAGATCCAGAACTTTCACCCAAGCACACACCAGTCTACAGAGCGCCAGAGTTTGACTTGAAGCCTTGCGTCGTTGGGGAGTCTGCTGATATTTGGAGTCTTGGCTGCGTCTTCTTGGAGGCAGCCTCATGGCTTGTCGCGGGTGCCAATGGGCTCCAATGCCTCGCCTATTGCCGGGAAGATTCAGGATCCAGCGCGCCGAGTCATGATGCGTTCTTCAGCATGAGTTCTCTTACGGATGGCAACTGGGACAGTCAGCCTACTCTAAAGGCTCAAGTTTGTGACGTTAGTATCCCCAGAGCGTCCAAGGTTTTTATGCGTCGAGGTGTTGATGTTTTAGGTTGACAGTGGATGACCTTGCTTCGAAACCATCCGCACTCGAGTGATTTCATCGATGATCTGCTAGATCTTATTACGCGGCAGATGCTCGTTGTCGAAAGCAGTAATCCTCCGCGGCAGAGATCATCGTCTCAGGAAGTGTGTGAGGCACTTGTTCGGCTACTCGAAAAGCTTGGAGCCGACGAGAACTATGCCTCGCCTCGCTGCGCGAACTGCGCCCATCATCCTGAAGACTATATCGGGCGCCCTGGTGATAATCAGTGTCCAACACACGGAGATGTGCTGAAAATGGTTAGGACCCCCTTCTTCCCTAGCCGAACAAGCCGTGGACTCTTGGTCACTCACGAGTAGTGTGTTGTTTTACGACTTACACCTAGACATAGGCCCGCCCTGTCTCTCATGCATCGACCGCGGTACTTCAAATGGCTTGGCTGACTGTTGCTGTCTCACAGGCACCTTCGAAGCGGAGCCACGACGGCAAGAGAAAGCGACAAGAGACGTACGCACCGGACGATAAGGAGAAGAGCGCAGCATTTGCGCAACCGCAGCGCTTGCTTGCGTGCCCATTCTACAAAGCAGGAATGCCCATGGGGCGGGCATGCATGGGACCTGGCTGGGAGTCAGCCCATCGGATGAAGTGCGTTTGTGCCCGAGCCTGGCTAACCTCTTGTTGCTAACGGCCCTTCTCACAGGGAGCATCTGCTTCGCCCCCATACTCCGAAGAGCTTTAGGGACCCTTCGGGCTGCCCTCGATGTCTTGAGGGTTTTAAGACGAAAGAACTGCTGGCACAGCATTTGCGCCAAGAACCGCAGTGCCTCATCAAGGCGCCGGAGATCATCGCTGGACAATTGACGCTTGAGCAAGCGGCAAACTTACGATCGACTAGGAAGAAGTCGGACATGAGCGAGGAAGACAGGTGGTTTGAGATATACCAGATCCTATTTCCCGGTCATGATCTGAGCACGATGAATCTGACTCCATGTAAGTCTTTCGATCGTTTTCCCTTTTCTCGAATCGGTAGACATGCTATGTTGATCGTGATGCTAACAGGATGGCGCCGAACCAGACCACGAGATGACTGTGTCATCCGTTGATACTCTCAGCACGCAGAGCTCGACTGTGGCTGAGATCAGAACCTACTACCAGCAGTCGCTTCAGGAGAAGATGCAGAAGATGGAAGCTGAGTTCAGGGCCATGGGATTTGACCCGGAGACGTCCAAGACCCTGGCGGCCAAGTTCCACCAGGATCAGCTCAAATCACTCCAGGAGTTCGAGGACAACAAGCTCAAGGTAACCTACGACATTGGTGTGGGCGGCAGCGACTCCAAGGCGCACGCGACTCCGGGCAGACTCATCGATCCCGCTGGGGCGTTCGATTTCGACCCATATTTTGGGGTGCCTGGGGGAAGCGGGGAGGACGAACTGGACTTCATGCTGCCCTTCAAGAGTTAGTTAGAGGCTCTGCCCTCCGAACTGCTTTGTAGGTGTGGCCCAGTCCTGGGGCGTACAATTACTTTCACTATTACAAGTCCATTTCCACCCATGATATATCACTTTTCGTCGTGTACCTAGGAGAGGCTCGATGAATTGGATATTGTCGGCTAGATGGCTTAGAGATTTTAAAAGCCATCTTAGGACTTTTTCTATGACTTGATATTTGACGCATGTATTCCTAACTCACAAGGCTTGGCAATACGTTCTCAAACTTGCATTAATCTCCAACTCGGTACGAGGCAGTCAGTGGCAAACAATGTGTGGATTACCTGCGCCGTAGGGGAAGTTACAGGATGACAAATCTCAGTTAAAGTTAATCCACAACTGCCAGGATTATACGAGCAGTGGTTATAACAGAATTAGGCAATAGGAAGGAGATGTGACTCACCACTGAAAACAAGTCAATGCACTCGTCTAATTAGCTTACGACTTCTTTTAGTGACTCAGAGAACTGAAAAGCTCCTCCTGTACCTTGTTAAGATAGAAATAGGTACTTGAAAGCTATCCAGCCCTCTTCTCAAGTTATGGCCACAACCCTAGTCACTCCTCACCAATGCCCATTCGCAACGCGACAAAAGAAGATATACCGGCCGCCGGGGCCGTTGCTGCAGCGGCATACATCGACGATGAGCAGGATGCCTTCATGTTCCCTGGCCGCAAGAAGCACCCTCAGTGATATTTGAAAACAAAAGAGAGCATTGTTCGCCATGGCATGAACGACCCGACTGCAACTGTAATTGTTGCTGTCCTTGAGGAGGGAGACCAATGTTGGAGCGGAAAGCCTGACATTGTTGGCTTTTGTATCTGGTTTGGAGAGAATGGCGACGAGGAGACTGATAAGGACGAGGGCATTGAGAAAAAGGCCTTGCTATCGAGTGAGTTTTGGTGCTGTTCTCTAACACCAATGTTTGTGGACATGGCTGATACCGCTGATCAGGAATAAAAACCTTCATCTCTGGTTCTGAAGTTTTTCAATACGCATCCGACCTAATAGATCCACTGGTATCAGCCCAGAATGCCGCCATCATGGCTCGCACATGCCGCCTCCCATCCTCAAATCATTACTTTTGCGACAGAATCGACAGCCTACCTCAGTACGGGATCATGGACATTGCCGTGCACCCCGACTTTCAGTGTCGCGGCGTCGCGCGAAGGCTTGTCGAGTGGGGGATCAACAAGGCCAAGGAGGAAGCCGTACCCATCGAGCTCTCTGCTACGCCCGAGGGGTCGGGACTGTACGCCAAGCTGGGTTTTAAGAAGGTTGGCGTTTGGAGATGGAGGCCGGGTATGGAAGGGAGTGATGGTAAGGGTGGATGGGATATCATGAGGTGGCAGCCAGAATAGTGACGTTCATCGTGGTCGGGTTATTTTTGTCACGTTTAGTGATTCCCCAGACCTTGCACAGAAACCTGACCAGAAAAATAAACCAAAGTCTCACTCCTTCGCGACTATCAAGGCTTGAGCTTGGGCAAATGTAACGCCTAACTACCTTGTTCGCCACTCTTGTACACTGAGGGGCTGCTTCACCACTAGGAAGACAGTCTCTAGAAGCGCACCCCTGCAAGAAGGCAACCAGGAGGCAGTTAAGCGCCTGTTTTCTCTGAACATGCATCTAGCTCAGCCACCACGACGCAGTGGGGGCACATAACCAAAGAGAAGGCGTATTGCGATTGGAGAACGCCTTGGGAGCCCATTCTGCTTAAGCGCAAGACAGGGCATGCATGCTGGACTGTCAAGGCTGCCTTTCAGCTAGACCACTGTCAGGCTGACTTGGATCCTACATCTTCGCAACCACAATCATGTCTGACGATGAACTCGCTGGAAAATCATGGTACTGCTTTGCTGGGTGTCGCTCGCGGCGTTCAACGAGGTCAGAACTAAGACGCGGCGATTCTAGGATCGTGGAATTTCCGCAGAGTAGGTGGACAAGAATGAATGCTTGGTGTCGGTCTAACAAAGTTGAATTGTAGAGACACCTTCACCTTCGGCTCAAAGCCATCAGTCGACCAGGTTGATGGCTCCTTCCCAAGCAACTTCCAATGCTCGCAACTCTGCACCTTCCTTCACCAATGCTCCTGTCACCTCAACCTCGGCATTGCCATCATCTGTCATCGCCAAGACTGCCTCATCAACGCCAACACCAATTGACAAGAGAGTCAAAGGCGCCGATGCCACCTTTCAAGACCTTTGGGATGCCGCGCTTGAAAAGGCCAGAGATTCCGAGGAGGACCAGCATGTCTCCAAGATCATTGACACATTCGCAACCAAGGCCATTGAAGATACTGGCAACAAATCTTTGGGCGCTCAAGAGTTGGCCACCATAATCAAAGACGAGATGGAGCATGAGATCAACAGTCAATACCATGACAACAACACGTCTCGTTTTGTCAAGCAAGTTGTCTCGACCCTTACCAAGTTTGCAGTCCTCGGCGACGTTGCCGTGAGCGTTGACCCTGTTCACGCTGCTCTCCCATGGGCTGCAGTGCGACTTGTTCTCATGGTACGTGTTCCGTGTGCCCATAGCAATGCATCTCTAACATTTGTAAAGACAGTCACCGCAGGGAGCGAATTGAGAGAAAAGCTTCTTGGTGGCCTTGCCAGAGTCACTTCGCTGTTCCTCCAGTGCAGCATGTATCAGCGCATCTACCTGCATTCTGATCTGGACACGGCGTCTGCTCTTCCCGCGGACATTCTCGACCATCTCAAGACAGCAATCGTTGAATCCTATTCCAGCTCTTTACGATTCCTCGGCTTTTCGGTTTATCAACAACGACAAAATGGCAGATTTGTCAAGGCGCCGTTTCAGCTTGGAGATGCGGCAAACTATTTAGGGGATATGGATCAATCTGGAGGACAGCTCAGCCAAGCTGGGGATATGTGCGAAAGGTTTTGTAACTTTCACGGTCGAACAACGATCCAGGATGTCCTACAGCTTGTCAGCGACCTTCGCAAGACGTTACAGGAGCCACCGTAAGTTTTAGATGCCTTTCGCTCACACAACGACTGCGATTCTGACACCACATTCTAGCAAGATCGTCTACCACATGTACCAGGAGGGCCTCTTATCCAAACTCCCCACAGTAGGCGCCGCTTTTGATCATTTTGACAACCAGGCAGATGTTGCTTGCCACCCCAACACTCGAGTTGAGCTTCTCAAGACGATATATGAATGGAATCATGACACCGAAAGCCCCAGGGTTTTCTGGCTGCAAGGCTTAGCTGGTACTGGCAAGTCCACCATTTCCCATACCGTGGCTCGAGACTTGAGAGGGGATGCACTTGGTGCTAGCTTCTTCTTCAAGAGGGGTGATGGTGAACGCGATAACGCGAGACATCTGTTCACCACAATCGCATACCAGCTTGCTCGTAAGCTGCCATCGCTGTGTAAGCATATCTGCGATGCAATCGAGAACGATCCTCGGATGGTTGAGGGATATCTGAGTGTTCAGTTCCAAGGACTGATCCTCGGCCCTCTGAAAAAGCTTCAAGACCAAGGGTTCACCAGGACGCTACTGGTCGTGATTGACGCACTCGACGAGTGTGAGCAGGAGATGCACCGGGAAGCAATTATTGATCTTTTGACCAAAAGCCAGCTAAGGAATCTCAAGGTATTTGTGACGAGCAGGCCCGAGTTCGACATTCGAAAACAATTCAGCTACGCCAATGGAACTTATCGCGATCTGGTGCTTCATCGTGTGGATCAACACATTGTCGAGCATGACATACGCGTGGTGCTGGAATACCACATGTCCAAGTTCACTCGCGAGCACAATCAGGTCAACAGCCAGGACTCCCATCTTACTGATGACTGGCCTGGAAGCGAGAGACTTGAAAGACTCGTTAGAATGTGTGCTCCACTGTTCATCTCCGTCGCAACATTTCTCCGGCTACTTCGACTTTGGCCAGAGGGGCCAGATACTATCGTCAACTTTTTCCTCGAAAACCCGGCAACGTCAACGTCAGAGTACGGAAAGCTCTACTACCCCGTATTGAGCCGAATGATGGAACTTGTTCCCTGTTTCTATCGAGACAGGTTCAGGGTCACCTTTAAGCAAGTGATAGGGTCCATCATCCTTCTTTCAAACCCGCTGGGAGCATTGCCCCTGTCACGCCTGTTGAAAATCTCGGTGCAGGAAGTTGATGGTCAGCTCCGTTATCTCCGCTCAGTTCTTGATTTGCCGGATGACAGTTCCCCCATGAGTCCCATAAGGCTTTTTCATTTATCTTTCAGAGATTTCCTAGTCCATGAGTCCGACGCCGGCGAGTTCCAAATTGAAGAGGCCAAAGCCCATCAGCGACTTGCCGCTCAGTGCCTTGATGTCCTGTCAGGAGCACTAAAGACAAACATTTGTGGCCTCAGATATCCAGCAAGTCAACGCGATGTTCTTGATCAGGATTCAATCTCAGTATACTTCCCGCCAGAAGCACAATACGCATCTATCGCCTGGGTCTTCCATGTGAGTGCAGGCGAACGCATGATCAAAGACGGAAGTCCAGTCCACCAGTTCATGTTGAAATACTTGCTCAATTGGCTTGAGTCTTTGAGTATCATGGGCAAGCTCTCTGAGGCTTCCAGACTGATTGATGACCTACAGCGGGCCACTGATGTAAGTAATCTTCCCTGCTGATTCTTTTCAGCCATCGACCTAACACGCACCTCAGTCTAAAGATGGCGTCGATATGTCCAAATTCCTTCATGATGCCAAACGCTTTGTTTTTTCATTCGGAAGCATGGCCGATAGATCACCGTTGCAACTATATTCGTCAGCCCTCGTCTTTTCTCCAACAGCGAGTCTTGTCCGGCAAACATTCAAGACGCAAATCCCTGAGTGGATAAAGCAATTGCCTCTCGTGGAGTCCGACTGGAGCGCCTGCCTATACGAAGTCAATGTTGACCGTGTTTACAGAGGCGGCGTTATGTTCTTGCCTAATGGCTGGATTGCAGTCATATCGGGGCAAAGTGTCAAGATCTTGGACCCAGCAAGCGGCACCTGCATCCATACACTCTCTGGCCATGGAAATTTCATCACCGCATTGGCCCTTTTGCAGGACGGGAGACTCGCATCCGCCTCATTAGATGGGACTGTTAAAACCTGGGACCCCAAGTATGGCGAGTGTTGGGGAACCTGTCCTGTGCCCAACGCCGAGCAAGTCAGTTGTATGGCGTTTTCGGCTGATGGTCATCACCTCTCATTGGTGACAAAGGAGCAAAAGGGCAACCTGGTTGAATCACATACTGGAAACTTGTTGCAGCATTTCGACCTTTGGGAGGGTCGAGATACTGGTCATGCAATCAAAACTGAACAGTTTTCTCGGGATGGAAAATGGCTCGCGCTGAGCAGAACCAAAAGGATCAAACTATTCGACTGGGAGTCATGGAAGGATACCAAGCCGCGGTATCTCACAAGCCCTCAACGTGCCATCTCAAGAATGGAGTTTTCGGCGGACGGCAACTTGCTGTACTCAGCCTCATACGACAACACGGTTGTGATGTGGGAAACTGCAACAGGTCAATGCCTACGCATGCTTCAATTCCCTTGCACAGCTATGACGGCACTGGCCTGTTCAAAAGATCGAGTGGCTGTAGGCTCAAGACGTGGCAACGTTGTCATATTGGATCTCGAGAAGGGAGCAAAACCCCAAAGTGTGGCGGGTCACGTACAAGGCATCGACTCCCTCGCCTTCTCCCCAGATGGAGAATTACTCGCCTCATCTACGAATGGGTCGTCGGCCAGGATCTGGGATCTGACCGTCACGACGTCCGAAACAGGTGAAGGCCATGTCGAACCTGTCAGGGAGATTGCCTTTGCATCCAACTCCAAACTTGTCGTGTCGTCTGACCTTGTGCACAAGATAATAATCTGGGATGCGTTGCATGGCACTCGCAAGAATCAGCTGACTTTCAAGAACCTGGCTGCAGTGGCCACGGCAGAAAAGGCACCACTGTTGGGGGTGGGCTTGATAGGCGAGGTCCACATCATCAACCTGGACTCGATGTCTAGGATACAGACGGTGGTAACAAGCCTCAGTCGTGTCCGGGCCCTGGAGCTCTCATCCGATGGAACACGACTTGCAGCGGTTTCATCAGCTAGCGAAGGTGATGAAGGGCGATCTGTGATTCAGATATGGGACACGGAAAACCCAGATGCAGGACATGTCAAAATATTACCAATCGATGACACCCAACAAGTGAGTGCCGTCGCCTTGTCACCAGACGGCGAACGAATTCTATTTGTCAAAAAACAACGTCAAATCGTCGTTGTAAACCTGGCGACCGACGACTGCTGGACGGGGGATTTCCAGAACCTTAGCGCAGTCGGTTTCTCACCAGATGGAGGACATGTCATCGCCGGACGGGTAAACTGGGCTGGAAAGATGTGGGATAGCGCGACTGGACAGTGTCTACGAGAATGTCCTCCTCAGCGCTACAATCTCTGGCTTGATCGCAGATTTCAGCCAAGTTTCTTGATGGAAGCCGCGTTGAGCGACTCGGCTGTATTGTCACCAAAGACCAAATTCCGCATGAAGGGGTATTATCTGAGCCGGGATGGGTGTTCGATCGTGAGAGATGGCGCAAATATGCTCCGTCTGCCATTAGAATATACGGCATCTTGCGCAGTGACGACAGGTTCTATGATTGCTGTTGGGTCCAGGATGGGGAGGGTGATTGTCATTAGGTTGGAATAGTCGTATCTTTAGGAGCCGGCACTTGGATTCAATGGCCCATCATCTCATGGGGAGTTGGATTTGGGATAGAATAGTAATACACGATGCCTTGATATCTACGGATATGGATAGCTAATGCTCCGTAACACAGGCGTTGAGGAATTCCAAAACCCAGTAGTGTAAACATATTGCAATTGCACCACATCTGTGATTGGATGGATGTCACGGATAACAGCAACAGGATTCGTAGACTATGGAGGATATAAATCAAGGCAATTATGCGTGATTCTAGGTGCTATGTAAAGAGCACTGGTAACACTATAATGCCGTGATGTCTCCAGCTCAATTCGAAGACCTTGGCTCATATACTCCTTCTGAATTTCTAGCCTAACTACCTTTTTAGAAATCACCTTTAGAAATCGCCTCGGTTTATGTAATTTCAAGTATGTTCGAGTTAACTAGCCTCATACTTAAATTTGCTAGATCAAGATGCCCTGACAGGACGAATAACTTCTGTGCTGCTAATCATTTGCCCCAGATTTTCATACCTCCATCGCCTCACATACACCTCACTCTTATCCAAGCCACCGTTGGTCGTAGCATACACTCCTAGAAGCGAGCCTGGCACAGACTTGCATTAGCATCTGCCAGTGCATTGTGAAGAATAGGTTTGTACTGACCTCCCCAGCGCCCCACTCCTCCGCTCGTCGTGGAAGTGGGAGCGGTTCGGGATATGTAAAAGCCTCGGTCTTGGCCGTCCTCGTCCAAGATTGTTACTGAAAGGATATATTCCAGCGCGTCCTCTGCCTTGATGCTCAACCTAATTCGACCAGACGAGTTGTCTGGGAGAGGAGTCAAGTCGTCGTCGGAGCATGATCCGGTCTGGCGGAACCGAAGATGTGGGCGCAGCACAGAGTCTTTGCCTTTCACCCAGGTGAAGCTGATGCTTGCGTGCTGTAGCTCCGTGAGGAACGCGGTCACGCCTACTTCTTCGTTCTCGTAGAGGATAAGCGGTGACTGGAGCTCGATGCTGAAGTTGAATAGGGTCGATGTTTGTCGACGACCTATAAACGTCAGGCCTTGACTGTCCTTGAATTTTCCTTCTAGTGATTGCTGTGAGGATACGAGGCAAAGGCTGTTGGGGTGGCCGAGTGGTGAGATTGAGATTGAGTTTTCAGGGGGGAAGCGCCAGTGGACAAAGTGCAGTGGGAAGTTTGAACCCACGGCAAAGTCGAGTTCGTCCCCTTGGTCGACAAACTGCCCCGATCCAAGGACTCTGAGATCGCTCTCTGGTAGGAGCGAGGTACTCATCCATCCTTCAACTGGCTCCGGCCGAGGCCAATCGTTCTCTGCCCAAGACACAGGGAGCAAGACCGTCTCTCGGCCCATGGGGTAATTCACATACTCAGGTCCCGAGCGTGTCGCCAATGCCACTCCCCACCAGTTGCCATCTCCGTCCTGAAAAAAGTCGGCATGGCCAATCGTCTGGAAGTACTCGCTTGTATTGCGGTTCGTGAGGATGGGGTTGTCTGCAAAACCCTCGAACGGCCCGGTCGGGTTTCGCGATCGAGCGACGGTTACGCAGTGCGGGAGGTCTGTGCCGCCCTCGGCGATGAGAAGATAGTACCAGCCGTCTTTCTTGTACAGATGTGGGCCTTCTGGTGCTATCCCGCCAGTGCCTTTCCAGAGGGTCTTTTCAGGTCCTGTTGCGCCGGTGTCGAGGTCTATTTCGAACTGGATGATTTCCTGACGAAAAGACGCAGCCTGAACAAGGACCCTTCCGTCGTCATCCCAGAAGATATCAGGGTCAAGGATTAACTGGGGGTGTCGAAAAATGATGGGATCGGTCCAAGAATCTGGGTCGAATGGGTCTGACGAGGAAAAGACAAGACCAAAAGAAGCCTCGGCATCTCCGATTGTGACGTATTCGACAATCACGTAGAATTTCTTGTCGTGGTAGCGTATAGTGGGAGCGAATATGCCATTATCCTGTACATCGTGCAAGCCAAGCTCTGGAACCTGTCCGCGGCGGCTCAGGATGTTGCAGCCGAGCTTCCAGTTGACCAGGTCTTTGCTCGAGTATAGAGGAAGGCCGGGAAATATCATGAAGGATGAAGTCACGCAAAAGAAGGTGTTGTCCCACTCTGGAACAAAAATACAGCTGGGGTCTGGATTCCAACCCGGGAGTATTGGGTTGGTGTATCCGTTGAGTCGTGAATGTTGACTCATGGCGTTATTTATAGACGGATGCCTTTCAACACGTGAAGTAAAACGGAAGTTTGAGAGGAGTAAAGACGCTCTTGTCGGTTTTAAATAATCGTCGCCTTGGTAGCCCAGGGATTCTTGGCTGTCAAGCTCGGGGAAGCTAAGGCCGAGCTGGATACGTAAAATCGTATAGAGGAGCATACTACTCGCTGCAAGCAGGCCTGTCTTGTAGTGGGATCGGTTGATTGAACCATCGTTTGAACGAGACTACGCTGAATACTCCCGGCCGTCAAGTGATACGTTAACACCAAACTGGGGGTTTCTTCACCTGTCTTTTTAGCTCATGGCATATTTCCTCTGTATATTCTATTGTATGTAGTGCTCCATTACCTTGAACTTTAACGCACAGCTTGTATCTGTTTTCACTACTCCTGTATATCAGCCGCCGAAGGGTCCTACTAATTTCATTCTAAGAGGGCACAAGCCACATCCTACTGCCATTGCCAGGACCAAATCCATGGTGCTCGCTTACTCTAGTCTTCCACATTCGGCTCGCAAACCTCAGCTTTGGTACCCAGAATAAAACCCCTGCCTGAGATGGCTTGGCCGGGGTCTGGATTGGAGGAAAACTGGTCAACTTGACAGATCTGGTCATACTAACTACTCGTGTCGTGAAGGATGAGCGGTGACGCTAGGCGAATAAATTTAGTCGCTTCCCTCATGGTTTGGACATTACTTGACTTGTTCTCCTCCATGATGGTCTCACATATCTTTGAAAATGTTATCCATTGGCTCCGTACTACAACTCATTGGCTTGACCAGTGTCGTCTTGACCGTTTACCGCATTCTCAACAATGTCTCGATCTGGCTTCCTTTTAATACGAACCTCAATCGCTACAATCGAGATTCGCGCGCTTGGGCCTTGGTAACAGGCGCCTCTGCTGGAATAGGACGAGGGCTCGCGGAGGAGCTTGCTGCAAAGGGCTTCAACGTCATCCTACTAGGGCACAAACGCGACGAGCTCCAAGAAACACGCGATAGCATCATTGCGAAATTCCCAGACATCCAGGCCAGGATATTGGTTCTTGATGCGGCACAGGCTTCACCTGCCGAGATCGAGACAGCCCTAGTTTCTGTCTCAGACCTTCAAATCACTGTTCTTGTCAACAATGTTGGGGGCATGCAAATGATGGGAGCACCGAGGTTCCGGAGACTGGACCAGTACTCGGCTGAGGATTTGGACGGCGTTATCTTCCTGAGTGCTCGATTCATGGCTCACGTCACGCGCCTTTTGATCCCGCTTCTAGCCAAGAACGGCCCGTCCCTGATCATCAACATCAGTTCTGGTGCTAGGATGGGCATGCCCGGTGTTGCTGCTTACTCTGCCACCAAGGGCTTCGTAACCTCCCTCAGCAACGCCGTAGCCAGGGAGATGAAAACAGACGGACTCCCGGTCGACGTGCTGGGTATTGTACCCGGCGATGTCGAATCGCAGTCAAACAATACTGGGCTGCAGCCTGGCTCTCCTAGTTCGAGACAGTTTGCCAAGGCGGTGATGGATCAAGCCGGACGGGCTGCTTCCAGAGGACTTCTTGAGATTTGCCCATGGCCTATCCACGCGATCCAGATTGCCTTTTTCGATTCTTTGCCGTTGTGGTTGTCGCAGAAGTTGATGTTTGATGTGTTTGAGAAGAAAAGGGCTGAAGATGGGTTGAAGAAGGACTGAAGGGCTAGCTGGTGCGTAAGCAGATACTTGGCTGTTTAGTGCTTGTTCATGGCTTTGACGTTGCTCTGAGAATCATGTCAATGGAGAAAGGAGACTTTACAAGCCCTCTGTTTCGCCTTGGGGTTGTTATTTCCTGTCGAGATTGCCATGAAAAGGACACCTAGGGATAAACTGGCTAAGTGGTAGTTCTTGTGAAGAGGACGCCCAATACTCTACCAGTTTCTAGTGATATCCCAAGACAGCACGAAGGCGAAGTAAATAGCCTAGATCTACTCTTTTAGACCTCCAATTTTAGCAGTCTTAATAATTAAGCGGTGAATCATATGGCTTAGTTCTCGCCTGAGCCTAAGTTAGAAGTTGTGGTGGGCGAACAAAGTCTTCCGGTGTTTTATGGTATTGGGCTTTCATATATTGACGACTGTATTTTTTTATTGTTGTGGTTGATTATCTCTTGCGCACTCTTTATTGAAAACTCTCGTAAGGAGGTTAGAGTAATTAAATACTCCATGAGAGGTTTAACCCTTTATGATGATGTAGCTAGGTATAACTCTTCTATCGCCGACAAATTGACGATAAAAGGTTTAAAAAAGGTCACTGTGTTAACATCGGGTCATAATGCTATGATGTGCTGATAATGTGTTCTTTATGATATTATAGCCTGGCCCTTAATTGATTAACTGAGCCAGAAGATCATTATTGAAAATGTATAATGACAAATTGTATATTTCGGTAATTTGATTGCATGATACCGTTCGGGAACTGCGGTAAATGTTATGACCACTCGTAGCTAACATTACTTATGGAGAGATAAACTTGACTTGATTGATTGACTGAAGGAACGCTAAAGCTGAAATCTAGCCGGGTGGCTCTGTACTGGAATCCAGATACAACGAATGTCTGTAGCTAATACCCCTGTGCCTGAGAAATGGGCCTTCCACGCCGTCCTTGATTTGTATGCGACTTGGCAAGACTTGCCCCCAACTCACAGGTTCTTCTGTTCATTCAGGCTGAGTAGCCCATGGATCAATAACCTCCAATTCTAATACCATCGAGTCGAACTTGCTAAACTTGTGGTTCTTGTAATGGCACCGCCTGACGTGTCGGAAGCACTTGAAGCAGTAGTCAGTGTCCCAACACGTGTTGCATGTGTACTTCGGGCCCCGAATCCTCTTATGCAACATTAGCATTCTGTTCAGATGTAGGCAAGAAACAAATCTGGCTGGACTCACACAGCCACAACTATCGCACCCCCCATCGGGGACGATAGCCCCTGACTCGTTGACCCATGTAGCCTTCTCGCCCGCGACGGTTACGCGTTGGTCAGTCTCGATGTCGTCATGACTTTGAGTCGCACTCTTAGCCTTGATGATATGCTCCTCATCAATTTCGACAAGGGAGGCATCGGAATCATGCCAGACTGCCACATCACGCGGCAGCCATCCCCGGTGCGTAACATCGGTGGTTCTCGCTCCCTTTTCGAGAAGCCACCGGGTGATAGTTTGGTTCTGCTGTCGACACGCCCAGTGTAGGGCAGTCCACCCGTCTTCGTCTTTGTCGTGTACAAGCTCGGGGTCTCTTCCCAGGATGAACTCAACCACATCGTCGGCCTCAATCCCCGCCGCGAGGTGCAGTGCGGTACGGCCCTGGAAGTCCTTTCTCCGTATTAACTCGCCATTTTGACACAGCCTCTGGAACAACGCCGTATCGTTGCTCAAAGCCGCGATGTGCAACGGAAGCCGGCCCTCCTGGTCCAGTGTCTCGGTAGTTAGCTGGAGCTTGGTGTCCGCCAGCAAGAGATCCACCATGTCGATGTTTTCCCCGAACACGGCGGTATGTAGGGGCGTCCCGTGTATGCCAGACAGCGTCTCAAGATCACCCCTCCCCAACCCCTTCTCCCGAAGCAGCTTCGCCATCCTCACAAACCCACCATGCGCCGCCGCATGAAGAGCCGTCCCGTACCACCCGGCTACCATGTGAATTGCACCTCCATCATGCTCCAGTAGCCGCCTCACTACATCAATGCTCTTGGAAATCTTGGAAATCGGCTGCTCAGAGCCTGTGTGATACGGCACATTCGCTGCTGCATGTAGAGGGCTCCCGAACCTGCCTCCTCCCAGCCTTAAATTTGCTCCCTCGGACAGCAGCAAACCCACCACTTCGAGTGTTTCATGACGACACATTTCAGCCGCGAGTTGTAAGGGCGTTCCGTTTCTGTCATTTATCTTGTTGATGTCCACGTTCACCTCGGCCCGGGGCTGCAGCAGAAGCTTGACTAGCTTGGGCCTCCCCCAAGCCGCGGCGTAGTGGAGCAATCCGCCCAACTTGCCGATGTCCATATCAATGTCAAGCCCAAAGCCAAGTAAGGCCTCGATGCGCGCTACGACTTCATCCTCGTCTGTCGTTTCCGCAATCAACTGGCAAAGAGCCACAGGGGAGACCGCGACGGGCCCCTGCTCCTCGGCATGTTGAATGACAGCTGAAAAGATATCCGTTGTGCCGTGCAAAAGCGCAAAGTCGAGAAAGGACTTGCACGAGTCGACATATTTCGCGGGGACATCCTCGCAAGCGCCGGCAGCGAGAAGAAGACGCATGGACTGGACGTGACCCCTGAACGCGGCAGCGTAGAGAGCCGTGTCACCCCCAGAGGTGGCGACGTTGATGTCCGCGCCGGCCTCGAGTAGCATCTTGACGATGCTAGACGAATTCTCGGCCGCCGCAACCACCAGCGGTGTCTGCTCGGCCGAGTCCTTCACGTTCACATCCACCCCGCGTAGAAGCAGCGCCCGCGCCAGGCCAGAGAAGTTCTCCTTGGCAGCTTTGTGGAGTAGTGTTTCCTCGTCTTCGTCCTCGGCATTCTTGTCCGCGCCGTAGTCCAGTAGAAGGCACACAGTCTCGGTCCAGCCTTGCTTCACGGCCCAGAAGGCAAGATCGCTGGGCTTCTTGTCGGTATAGTAGGGGAAGAGTATCCGGACAACCTCGGTTTGGCCCCATCGGCAGGCAAGAAGTAGGCCGGATCTGATTGCTTCAGCGTCTTCCTCAGGAGACGGGGGTCTTTGCTGGAGTAGGGTTTTAAGGATGCGTATCTGGCCGCGGGTTGCGGCCGAGTCGAGCGGGGTGATTTGAGTAGGATCGTCGCCGTACGCTTTGCCGTTGCGAGCAACCAGCTCGGCGAAGATGTCGTGGTAGCCGTACTTGACGGCGTGATGCATCGCCGTGCGACCGCTATCATCCTTGATATCCATGTCGACACCGCAGTCAAGGAGGAGTCGCACGAGGGGGAGGTTGTTGCCGTCGACGG